TTAATCCACAAACACCAGAGGTTTATGTCCAAAAAGGAGACAGAGGAGTCCTTTGACTTTATTCCAGTCAAGGCAGAGGCCATGGGGCATCCCCTAGGGTCTCTCAGATTTTTGGAGGATGCAGCCTCCCTTTTTATCCCAATTTCCAGCCACATTTCCCTTCTCTCTTTCCCCATTTCTGAGGTACTTGAGAGGTTCAGACTCCCTGGAACACCAGACCCAGAGATTCCCCTCTAATATATAACCGTCCCTTTTAATTTTTAATTCTTATGGAATTTAGGGGGTTTTCCTCATTTCTGAGGTGTTTGAGAGGTTCAGACTTCCCAATACACCTAATCTCAAAAACTTCCCTCTATTGTATAACCCTGCCTTTTACATTTTTAATTCTTACTGAATTTAGGGGTTTCTTCCCCATTTCTGAGGTACCTGAGACTCCTCAGAACACCTGATCCCAAAGATTCCCCTCTAATGTATAACCATCCCTTTTCATTTTAATTCTTAGAGAATTTAGGGGCTTTCCCCCGTTGTTTCTTCCATCTTTCAATGTCTAATTTCATTTATCAGCAAAACTAAAGTTTATTTGTAAAAGGAAATATATTTTCCCTTTCATCAATCAGTGGAATCCTTCCAATTGTTTCTTTTCTCTCCCAGTGCTGGTTTTATCTCTCAGCAGACCCACAGCTTGTTTGGAAACACAAAACTGCCATTTCTCTCCCTGTGAAGCCAAACGGTGAAGTTTTCTCCCCAGGAATGTGGAGTGCAGAGGTTTCAGCGCTGTCACAGCCCCTTAAATGGGTCTGATGGTGACAAATCCTTTCAGGAACGCTTGTCACTCCTCGCCGAGTTTGTAAATCAAGTCGGGGCTTAAGGTACTTTTTCTCGCCTTGCATTTTAATGTTGTTGGTGTTTCCACCAGCCCGGATCTCTGCTCCTCGTTTCCTGCTCGGTTCCAGCTCCCTGGAGCTGACAGGAGCCCATGATAATGAGCAGTAAATAATTGCTAGCCGTGGGCAAGATTCTGAGCAGGCACCCGAACATTCCAGGTAATGAGGGGGAGAATTTATCCGCACATCCACCGAGTGGGGCTGGGGAGATGCAGGGTCCTGCTCTGCCAGGTTTGTCACCCACAAGTGGGCTGGCATTTCTCAGAAGAGCTCAGCTGCTAATTAGCACCTTTAAAAATCTGATTTTTTTAGCCCAAGACGTCCCAGCAGCTCTCAGGAGTGCCAGCAGTTCTTTGGGTGTTTCTCAGTGCTGGGTCTCGAGGGGAATTCTTGGATGTGTGGTTTGGGAAGGGCTTTGAGGTCAGGTTGTGTTCCAGGTGAGGCTTCAGCACCTGCCCAGAGCTTGAGGGATCAAACAAAGGGGAGCTGTGGCTGCTCCAAGGAGAAAACGCTTGGGTGACACAGACATCTTTTATGAAAAATCCTTTCCTTAGGGTTTTTCCTCCTGAGAAGCTGAGAGGCCTCAGGAACAAAATGTAAACAATGGTTATCTGCTGCTGTGGAATGCAACAGGTGCATCTGTGATTGGTCTCATGTGGTTGTTTCTAATTAATGGCCAATCACAGTCAGCTGGCTCAAGCTCTCTTTCTGAGCCACAAACCTTTGTTATCATTCCTTCCTATTCTATTCTTAGCCAGCCTTCTGATGAAATCCTTTCTTCTATTCTTTTAGTATAGTTTCAATGTACTATATATCATAAAATAATAAATCAAGCCTTCTGAAACATGGAGTCAGATCCTCATCTCTTCCCTCATCCTTGGACCCCTGTGAACGCTGTCATACTTGGGTGGGGAAATTTTTCTTCTCTGTGTTTTATTCTTCTTCTTCTTCTCTATTTTTCTTCTTTTAATTTATATTTTTTTCCCAGATGTCACTTCACTGGTGTTGATTTAGGGCTCTGCTTTGGAACTTGCAATCAGCACAGAGCTCTTTGCCACCAAGCATGCACCGGGTTTGATGGGAATATTTGATTTTACTCCACTCAAAGCTAAATTTTATATATATATATATATATATATATATATATATATATATATAATATATATATAATTTTTTAATATATATAGATTTATATATACATTATATATTTTTATATAGAATATATATTTTATATATCTATATATCTATATCTATATCTATATCTATATCTATATCTATATATAAAATAATGTTCTGCCCCCACTCCAGAGCATGGTCCTGGAGCTGAACTCAGCTCGGTGAGCAGAACAGAAGAATTCTTTTCGCTGTGGGAATTTTGCCCCGGCCCTGCCGCTCTCCCCACGTTCCTGGAAAGTCTTGAATAATCAAATGGGTCATTTCTGCTCAGCTGCTGTGATTTATTGTCCCATGGAACCCAAATCTTCTGAATGCTAATGAAAAAAACCCCCATCAGCCGGGCTGATGCCATTCTGCTTTATGACCTTATTAAATCTTACACTTTCCTATCATGTGGTGACAATTACTGGAGGACAGGCCAGGGCTCCTGCCACCACCACTCAGCGCTGTCAGCGCCGGGCCCGGGAGATTTACACCCCTAAGCAGTCCTGAGAGACATTTTTACACTGCTGACAGGATTATATAACAAGAGAAAAGGCCATTAACAAATACAAAGGAACGGGCTGCGGCGAGAGGGCAGGTGGGGAATGGGGCAGTAAATCCCGGCTCTGGCAGCCGGCAATAAAATCACCTTGTGGGGAGATTTAATGAGCTGAGAGGGGGCAGAGCTGGCACCTGGCTCACCCTGGGGCTCGAGGGGGACACGGGGCATTGCCCGGCCTGGCTGGGCAGGTCTGTGCCAAGGAATATCCCTGGGATGTCCTGGAATGTCCTGGGATGTCCCCGAGTGTGGGCACAGCCTGGCCCTGGCTGAGGATGTCTGTGCCAAGGAATGTCCTGGGATGTCCCTGGAATATCCTGGGATGTCCTGGAATATCCTGGGATATCCTGGGATGTCCTTGAGCCTGGGCACAGCCTGGCCCTGCCTTGGGATGTCTGTGCCCCTGGAATGTCCCTGGAATATCCTGGGATGTCCCCAAGTGTGGGCACAACCCGGCCCTGGCTGGGGATGTCCGTGCCAAGGAATGATAAAGTGAATGAATTAATTCCATTCAAATAATTAATGGAGTTATTAAAACCAAAAAACCATGCCCAGAGGTCCGTGTGAGCCCCCCTCCCCAGTGCCTGGCCTGGTTTGACTCCAGCAGTGAAAGGACAGCAGGGTCAGGCGTCAGTAAAAGACTCTTTATTCATAAATAGCTGATATCCATAACTCCCATCTGTACACCTCTCTCCAAAGGCCGGGGCCACACAGCTCTGAAACTCTACAGAAAACACCCAAAGTGTCCACTTTGACTTCTCCAGGACAATAGAACACAGCTGGTTGGCATTACCAAATATATATATATATGTATATATATTTATATATGTACATGTGCTGAAAAAAGAAGCCAGTGCAGCCTTTCCAAGGAGTCTCTCTCAATATTTTCACTGTACAACATTCAGAATTTACATTGATAGAACAAGGCACAGAAAGTGTGGTATGAAGCCAAGGCCATGCTTTTGATTCCACGTTCTGTCTCCCTTCCCTTCTCCTTCAGCTTCATCCTAAGAAGGGCTCAGGGCTCTGCCCTCCTTCACCCCAAACACGCCGGGGCAGGGAGGGATGCTCAGGCAGAGCAGCCAAGAACCTTTTCACAACCTCTTCACTGCAAAAATAAAGGAGCAGAAGAGAAAACAAGTCTCTCTAGAGGAATACTTGTGGGGTTTGGTTTTTTCTCTTTTTAGGAATTATTTATATTTTGTGTCCGGCTGGGTCGAAGTTCCTCCTCCCGTTTTCACCTAAGAGCTGGCTTAAAGTTGAGAATGCAAGTTGGGAATTTTGTTATCTCTTGTCTGACACTGCTCAGAGCCTCAGCAGACTGACCAGCACCACGTTTTATCTTATCCAAACCAACAGAAGGAGCACATTTAACATTTTCGTAGCCATTTATCAGCTGGGCATTTTGTTGGGGCAAAATGCTCAGCTAATAAACGGCTGCAAAAATGCTACATGTGCTCCTTCTGTTTTTTGTTTTTTCTCTTTTTAAGAATTATTTATATTTTGTTGGGCTGGGTCGAAGTTCCTCCTCCCGTTTTCACCTAAGAGCTGGCCTAAAGTTCTGGAAGTTGAGGATGCAATGGGAATTTTGTTATCTCTTGTCTGACACTGCCCAGAGCCTCACCAGACTGACCAGCACCACGTTTTATCTTATCCAAACCAACAGAAGGAGCACATTTAACATTTTGTAGCTGTTTATCAGCTGGGATATTGGGGTCACAGCAGGATGGGGGAGTGCTAGGTGAGGGGATGGGGTTTGTGTTCCCAAAGCTGTGGTTGTGAGCACGGGGTTTGTGTGTGCCCTGCCCAGCTAGGAGAGGCACTCAGGAGCCCTGGGGCTCAGCACGGGGGCTGGGGTGGAGGATGAGGGGGGAAAGGACGGAAAAATCGAGAGCTTCACCCAAAAATCTGGGGCTGGGCTTTGGGGTTTCCTTCCTCCCCCTCCAGTGCCTGAACAAGGGACACCTGAAGGGATTCCTTGAGGAGATATCCTAACCATGGACATCTGGAGGGATTCCTGGAGGAGATATCCCAACCATGGGACACCTGAAGGGATTCCTTGAGAAGATATCTCAACCATGGGACACCTGAAGGGATTCCTGGGGGATATATCCCAGCCAGGGACACCTGAAGGGATTCCTTGAGGAGATATCCCAACCATGGACACTTGAAGGGATTCCTTTAGGAGATATCTCCGCCAAGGACACCTGAAGTGACTCCTTGAGGAGATATCCCAACCATGGGTCAATATTCCCAATTCCATGGGTCAACGTTCCCAATTCCAGCATGGGGATTCCAGGGGTTGGATGTTCCACTCTGCCAGAGCCAAGGGCTGATCGGTGCTGGGAGGGTTTGGGAGGAAACCCCAAATTTTCCCCTCCAGGGAAAATTCTCTCCCACCCAGGCTGGGTGCAGGGCACCCAAAACTTCACCAATTCCACCCAAATCCTGGTGCTGGGCAGGGAGGGCTGTGAGCCCCTGCTGGAGCAGGAGCAGTGTCCATGGGGGAATTTCACCAATTCCACCCAAATCCTGGGGCTGGGCAGAGAGGGCTGTGCACACCCCAGCCCCTGCTGGATCAGGAGCAGCGTCCAGGGAGGAATTTCAGCAGAGCTGATCCCAGGAATGAGCAGCCCCTGGGAAACCATGGGCAGGCTCTGGGTGAGGGATGTTCCCCCTTTCTGCTGTGCCACAGGTGAGAGAGAATTCCCTGGGGGCATCAGCCAAGGAAAGGCCAAAAAGGCAACCCTGGAGATCGTCCTTGGTTGTCAAGGACTTCAAATCTCATTTCCTGTTCTCCACTCAGTTAATTACCAGCCAAGAGCAGCTCTTTGCTGCAATCTGTGTTTTACAGGCAGAAACAGCCTGAAAAAAGAAGATTCAGGTGGTGACCAGAAGCCCAGCCTGGTCCCTCCCTTGTTTAACTCACCGTGGACCTGGGCTGTGTCTCCCTTTAGTGGAAAATTGGAATTGATCAGTTATTGAATGCTTTAAAACTCTCATGGCACAGCCTTGCAGGTGGAAAAGAATGAATTTGCAGTGCGATGTGAATATCCCAGACCCTGCAAAGTGATTTATGCTGAATAAGATTCTCTGAAAGGCAGCAGTGCCCAGGCCAGAGATGGGAAGAACAGCTGTGGCCAGAGATAAAAACAAGGACAAAAGCAGTTTGCTGGATTTTAAGAGAATTGTTTGATATCTCTTCATCTATTACAAAAATCTCAATAAAATTTCTGTGGGAGTGCAGGGCGGTACGACATGGAAATGAGCTTTATGGTGCTGGCGGAGCTGGGAGTCATTTTTAAAATGCAGCCATTAGTCTGCAATGAGTCATGGCACAGAAATACCTGGGCAAAGTGCTCAGGAAAATGAAAATCTATTAAAGCAGATTCTTTGGTGATGTAAAATCAGAATGGCTCTTTCCCCTGAATAGAGACAGGGCAGCCACGTGGAATCTACAGGGGGGAAAATGCACATTTCTCCTTCTTTTACTTTCTAGTTCGGGGAAAATTGTTTTTCAATTATCATAATTTATACAACAGAAGAAAGGAATGAATTTTTAATTCCTGGCCCCTAATCCTTTTCCAGGTGCTCCTCCACATCTGTGTTTTGGGTCAAATCATATGAATACGTGCATGGATTTCCAAAAAGTCTTTTAAAGAGAAAGGGAGAAAGGAAATAAATATTTGGGGCATTTCTGGTTCATTTGAAGAACACAAGAGCATCAAAGCAGTCAGGAATAGGAAGGAAAGCTGAAGAGTTGTTGATTCAGGTTCTCAAAGAGTGAGATCAGCAACAAAGAATTGCTTTATTCAAAGGGAAGAAGAAAAACCAGGGAACAAAACCTAAAGGGCAGCATCCAACTGAGCCCTTCATGGGGGAACAGCTTCCCTATGGAATTGTCCAGTTTGGACATTTATTCCCTTTCAGGACATGGGATTGTGGGTGGGCTGGGATTCTGAGGCAGGGCTGGCTCCCTCTGAGTGGGGGCCCTGCACTGGGAGGGTTTGCAGAGCTCCAGGGTGGACAGAACCCTGAGGAAAGGCAGCAGGGGCTGAGCCCCCGCAGATCCTGGGGCTCCCTGGGGTGTCAGGAGGATGGAGCAGAGCAGGAGGATGCAGCTCCTTTTTATCCCAATTTCCCAACCCCTCCCTTTTTATCCCAATTTCCCTTCTCTCTTTCCTGTTGGGAAGGATGAGAGTTTGACAAGAAAGTCTCACAGATATGTGTGCTTGGCAGAAGGATTTTTAAATGTAGAGTCTGATGAAGGAATAGAGATGGAAGCAAGTTTTGATATAGAAGAAAAGAATTGCTGTGCCAGTCTTGCTGGATAACCAAGGAGGCAAAGGGTGTGTTAGTAGAAGAGGTTTTACGGCTTAGAGCAAAGGATAAACCCACCCCAAACAAGATGCTTTTACCAAGCAGAAAGATAGCACAGGCAAACAAGGCAGCAAATGTTGCAAGTAGAAAATGATCTCAGAATTTTCCACTGCAAGAAAACGGAAAAAAACTTCTAGCTTAAACTGTAATGTACTGACTTTTAGTGATAGGGGAACAGCAACATGAATATGGTAATTACAGTAGGTATGATAGGCTGTAGATAATAGTTAAGGTATAGATTAGTTCTACTATAGATTGGTATTAAGATGCTCAGGAAAGAAAAGTATATAATGCATTTGTAGCCAAAATTAAAGGGTCTTCAGGCTTCTGTGCAGCTGGAGCTGACAGCTGTGGGCACAGCTCTGCCACCCATGACCCTGGACTGCTGTAGCATCTTGGATAGAATAAACTGCATTCTGTATACAATAAACTGCATTTTGGACGTAATAAACTGCATTTTGAAGAGTCCCTGGAGTCCCACATCTTTCATTTTGGCTCTCACAGTGGTGCCCAACGTGGGGCACCATTAGTAAGGGCCTGAATGAGGGATGTGGGTCTCCAGGCCTGCCTGCAGCTGGAACTGACAGCTGGAGGCACAGCTCTGTCATCCACGACCCTGGACTGCTGTAGCATCTTGGATAGAATAAACTGCATTTTGGATACAATAAACTGCATTTTGGATACAATAAACTGCATTTTGGAGAGCTGCCTGGAATCCCACATCTCTCATTCAGGCTCCTACACTTTCCCCATTTCTGAGGTACTTGAGAGGTTCAGACTTCCCAGAACACCTGATCCTGAAGATTCCCCTCCAATGTCTAACCCAGGAATCCCCTGCAGCACCTGGGGCACCAAACCCAGCCTGCTCAGGAACAGAGCAGCTCTGGGGCACTGAGAACAAATCCCTGCTGCAGGCAGAGCCGGATTGGTTTCCCCGACAACGGCAGCTCGCAGACTCTGCTTGTTCCCCCGGTGCCATCATCCCTTGTTTTGTTTTTTTTTCTAATGCCTGACATTTTGTCCAACCAAGAACAGGTTTGTGGAGGAGGACTGGCAGTCAGTGGGGATGGAACTGGAGGAGCATGTGCTGCTGAAAGCAGTGACAGCTTGCAGCCGGTATTTCTGTCTGCCCCGAAACCTGTGCCAGGAGCCTCCTGCCAGGCTTGCAGGAGATGCTGAGCTGCAGGAAAGCTTTGCACTGGTCTCAGGATTTCCAAGTTTCAGGATTTCCATGTCTCAGCCTATTCCTGAGCTGGGCAGGCAGTGACATTTTTGATTTCAGGGCAGCACAAGCAAGGACAAAGCTGATGTTGCTGATCTCGTTGTTGTTTTGTTTAGATTTTCACACTGCAGTCCTGGGTGAAGGAACTGCCCTGCTCTCAGCCAAACATGAGGCTAAAACAGCCCCCAAACCCTTGGTTTGGGTTTCCTGCATTTCCACAAAGCTCCCAAAGCCTCATTTCTGTTCCTTTTTCTCCTGCCTGTGCCCTGGCAGCCCCACGGGCTCCAGCACCTCGGCTATGGTGAAGGATGGGAGTGAAAAGAATGGTCAAAAATAATGGTGACATTTGGCTCAGTCCCAGCTCCACCAGGCCCTCACTCACAGTGACAGCTCTTTTTGGTTTGGTTGAAGCCATAAATAATTTCTGCATGGAATGGGTAAAAAATGAGGTGAATTCTCTGCTTAGATCCTGATTTTTGGGGAAAATGCAATTTGTAATTAAACCAAGGTAACACAGCCAGCTCTGGACCCCGCAAAATTCCCAAATTGTGCAACAAAATCCAGGCCAGTGTTGGCAGTGCCGTGTGGGGTTTGTGGTTTCAATCTGAAACCCAACCAAAATGAAGCTGTGCTGATTGCCTTCACCTTCAGCTCAGCCACAGAGAATGAAGTAACAAAAATAAATGTCTCAACTTGCTAAAATAGGGCTGGAAATTTTCCCGTGTGTTATTTGGTTATTTAAATCCACCCCCAAAGACAGTTTTTTGACTAAGAAAGTTTGCAGACGTAGAAAATTAGAAAATTCCTCTGGCGTGTGCACACACCCCCCAGTCTCAGAGAGAAGGGGTTTGTTCTGGAATTTTGGTAACAGAACAGGCAGCAAAGCTCTGCAGCAAATGTACATTCATTAGGGGGCTGAATTTTTAAAACAAAGTATTTGGAATACACACGATGTGAAATAATTATGAGATCTTCTAATTCCTCAAACATCTGAACAGGATAAGGCCAAATTTTCAGTTTTCCTGTAGCAGACATAAAGTGACAACGTGATGGGATTTTTAAACCACCCTCGAATTCGGCGAGAAACCTTTTAACCAGGACCAACCTCCAGTGGCTCAAAATATCCAACGTTATTTGTTGATTTTCACTAGAGAAACCTTTTAACCAGGACCAACCTCCAGTGGCTCGAAATATCCAATGCTATTTGTTGATTTTTCACTAGGCAGTACACGAACATGACTGTTCCTAAATACAGAATAACGTTTCCCTCTTATGGCTCTGTGTCTCTCTCCCTCCTGCCCCGGCGCTGACACAAGCGCAGGCTCATTTGGGGCACCAAAATATGGATTTTAAGTGGAGGAGGACAGGGAGGAGCTGGTTTTCCTCATCACCAGAGGGTTTTTAGCTGCTGCTCCTCCCATTGCCACTGATGCGGGGTGAGTTCCATCCCCACAACCCCTGCTGGCCGTGTGTCCTGGCAGGACAGAGGGACTAAAGCCCCTTCCTGGTGCAGGGGAACTCGGGCTCGTCCAGCTCGGGCTCTGGCACCTCAGGGGGCTTGGAGTGTGTCCTGCCAATCTCCTCCAGGGCACAGGCCAGCGAGTCCAGGTCCCCGTCGTGCTGGTGCCGTGCCTCCCACAGGTCCAGGATGACGGCAGAGGGGCTGCTCTGGGTGGCAAAGAAGGAGAGGTTCCTGCAGGGAAAAAGGAGAGAAAATGGGTGAGGAAGGAGGAGAGATTCCTGCAGGGAAAGGAGAGAGTCTTTCAGGGAAAGGGGAGAAAATGGGTAAGGAAGGAGAGACTACTGCAGGGAAGGGAGGGAAAAAGAGATGAGGAATAAGGAGATATTCCTGCAGGGGAAAAAAGAGATTCCTGCAGGGAAAGGAGGAATAAAAGAAGAGATTCCTGCAGGGATAAATAGGAAAAAGGGATGAGGAAGAAGGAGAGATTCCTGCAGGGAAAAAGGGGTGAGGAAGAAGGAGATTCCTGCAGGGAAAGGAGAGATTCCTGCAGGGAAAGGAGGGAGAAAGGGATGAGGAAGAAGAAAAGATTCCTGCAGGGAAAGAAGAAATTCCTGCAGGGGAAAGGGGTGAGGAAGAAGGAGAGATTCCTGCAGGGAAAAAGGGAAAATGGGGTGACAAAGAAGGAGAGATTCCTGCAGGGAAAGGAATAAAAAAGGGATGAGGAGAAGGAGAGATTCCTGCAGGGAAAGGAGAGAAAAAGGGTTGAGGAAGAAGGAGAGATTGCTGCAGGGAAAGGAGAGAAAAAGGGTTGAGGAAGAAGGAGAGATTGCTGCAGGGAAAAAGTGGTGAGGATGGAAGAGAGATTCCTGCAGGGAAAGGAGAGATTCCTGCAGGGAGAAAAGGGAAAAAGGGGTGAGGAAGAAGGAGAGATACCGGCAGGGAAAGGAGAGAAAAAAGGGCGAGGAAGAAGGAGAGATTCCTGCAGCGAATGGAGGGAGAAAGAGATGAGGAAGAAGGAGAGGTTCCTGCAGGGGAAGGAGAGAAAATGGGTGAGGAAGAAGGAGAGATTTCTGCAGGGAAGGGAGTGAAAAAAGGAGAGATTCCTGCAGGGAAAAACGGATGAGGAATAAGGAGAGATTCCTGCAGGGAAAGGATAGAAAAAAGGAGAGATTCCTGCAGGGAAAGAATGGAAAAGGGATGAGGAACAGCCTGGGCTGCAGCTGTGCCCTATGCCCAGCACAATCCATGTGTTTGGAAAATAAAACCCCTCAGCAGCTGGTGCATGGGTTGTGCAAAGACACAACCCCTTTGATCCGGGATTTTCTATTTTGGTAATGTGCTGTTTTTAGGACCATGCAGGGGTAATTTGCACAGAATTTGGTAAAACAAAATGTTTATCCAAAAATCTTTTTCCTTTGGCTCAGATGTGGTTTATTGAGGCTCCCACACAAAGCAGGAAACCAATGGAAAGTTACTTTGCCTGATTTAAGTATTCCTCTGCTCTCCTGGGAACGCATTTATAGAGTTTGTGACAATCAGAAAATATTTTTGTGAGGAAGCTGCCTCCGCCAATTTAATTTAGCCAAGCAGAAAAAGCAAAGTAAGAAGTAAATTGGTTTTTACAGCATCTTTCAGTTTTAATAATCATAATATTATTACTCCTAACAGTAGAGCATGACTGTCTCTTTTTAAGATGTCTTTCCCTTCAAAAAAAAATTCTGCAGGATTCATTTTGGAATAGGAAAGAGAGTCAAGGGGATTTGTCTGGGGGAACATGCAGCCTCTTAAGGGCTTTGAACAACTCTTGGATGGACAAAATCTGTCTGCAGCCTTGGACTCCTGAGGGTGGGCAGAAGGACGAGGAGCTGGAACCAGGAGGGAGCCCCACTCAGCCCCTCATTCCCACCCACACCCTGACACCAGCAACAAACCAACCAAGCAACCACCCCTGAATGGCCCAAAATCCCCGTTCCAGGTGCCAACCCCTGGAGCCATGATATTTTATGAAAAATACTTTCCTTAGGATTTTTTCTCCTGAGAAGCTGAGAAGCCTCAGGAACAAAATGTAAACAATGGTTATCTGCTGCTGTGGAATGCAACAGGTGCATCTGGGATTGGTCTCGTGTGGTTGTTTCTAATTAATGGCCAATCACAGTCAGCTGGCTTTGACAGAATCTGAGCCACAAACTTTTATCATTCCTTCTTTTTCTATTCTTAGCGAGTTTTCTGATGAAATCCTTTCTTCTATTTTTTTAGTATAGTTTTAATGTAATATATATCATAAAATAATAACTCAAGCCTTCTGAAACATGGAGTCAGATCCTCATCTCTTCCCTCATCCAAAAAACCCATGTGAACATGATCATGTATAATTTTCTTTTAATATAATATACATTTTATATATATATATATATGAAATATATATCATAAAATAATAAAACGGCCTTCTGAAACGAGTCAAGATTCTCATCTCTTCCCTCCTCCTGGGACCCCCATGAACACCACCACAAACTCCATGCCAGGGCGCTGCCATCACCTGCTGATGCTGTTCTTCTGTGCCAGCAGCTGCCAGTCCTTGCCCTTGGCGCCGGGCGCGTCGAAGGTGGTGCAGATGCGCTGCCGGATGGAGCGCGGGATCTTGAAGGCCTTGGGGCCCAGCTGGGCGGGGAAGGCGCTGTCCTCGTGGCCAAAGAAGGGGATGTTTTCTCTCTCAGCCTGCAGGGAAAGGAGAAACAAACCTCAGGTTGCTTGAACTGGCAACAGAAAATGGCTCAGAGGTTAATGCGGCTGTGCTGGGGTTCGGGGTGTCCCCAGCAGGCTGCAACAGGGTCCGGATTGTGGGAATCCACAAAATTAGAGGGGTTTGGGAAAGCTGCAAAAGGCAGGCCTCAGAAACAGCAGAACTGTGATTAGAGCTAAGCAGCAGCCATGAGATTGGCCAGCAGAAAAATTTTTTAAACTGTAGAAAAGCAAGGACAGATAGAACAATGGTCTGTGTATTCATGTTTCTCTAAAATAACTCCCTAAGCTACAGAAAAGTTTATCTAGTGAGATATTAGGAAGTTTGAAGCTTAATAATGGAGCTCTGTGCATTGTGTTTTAAAGCTTACAAATAAGAATTGTATTCAAAATAAGCAAGTATTGTTTTAAGCAAAAGTACATGCACTTATAGTGGTTGGATAGAACTACTGTCAATGTGCTTTTGCTTTGGAGATGGGTCAAAAAACTTATAAAGTGAGTTGTAACATTAAGTTCTTAGTCTGCTGCCTGAGATGTGAGCTGGTGGCATCTTCTCATTGTTATAACCATGGAATGAGACTGATGCTGAAAAATAAAACAGCTCAAAGCACATTCCACAGCAGCCCTGTCCCCTTTGTGATTTGTACAGAGATCCCAGCCAGCATCACTGATAGCTCTGACCTGGGATAGCTCTGACCTGCTCGGCACAGCTTGTCCAAGTTCCCAAGCCCTTTTTAGCCACAGGCAACCTTAGCAAGCTTAAGTGTTAACAGCTCTTTAGTGATCATCAGCTCATTGTGCTTTAGTGATTTCAGCTCTCAGCTTGCTAGGTGCCCAAGCAGGCAGACTCAGGGAGAGGGAGGAGAAGGCTGTGTGGAGTTCCACAGGAGCTTCTTTATTGAGTCTTCTGCAAAGGTTGCCAGTGACAGCTCTTCTGCCTGAGCTGGGCAAAAGCAGCTCTTTATATAGGGTTCAGGGGTTTTGGAAATTGTCCAATAGCAAGGGTTAAAAGAAAGTGACCTATAGTCTTACAGAGAGATAAGCAAGAGGTCCAAAGGCAGAAGAAAGGAGTTTCTAAGATTCCAGTCATCATGAACTGGCATTTCCTATCTTAAGCTTCTGAACACCAGGAAAATGTTGCAGGCTCTGGGCCTGCTACAAGAGGTGCTTCTGTGAGTTGTGAAAGAACACTCAGAAGGTGTTCCTTCATCATCACAAGGACTTGTGCATGAAAACCTTTAAAATTGTGGTTTTTCCTTCCATGAGTTTTCTTTTTCGGTTATTTTTGTCTTGAAGAGCAGCACTGGGTTTCTAAATCTTTAATTGCTTAAACCCGAAACATGGACACATAAATTCGTGTTTGTTTCTTTCTTTCTTTGGGTTTTCTTAAACACCCGAATTCCTTAAACACCTCAGCTCTCCCAGATTCTCTGGAATCCAGGTCCTTTGCAGATCTGGCCCCTCTTTTCCTGTGGAATCACACCAGTCTTGCATAACAGAGTCAAATTTCAGTGCATTACTCATCCGAGAGTGACACAGCATCAATATTAACCAGCAGCAGCGACGATGCTGCAGCCTCCATCCACCATTTGTGACAGGTCCCCAGGGCCAGCCAGGCTCAGCACCCGGTGCTGCAGCTCTGCCCTGGGCTCTGCTCAAGATGCAGAGCAGGAGAAGCTCCTGCCCTGCACGTGTGAGATAAGCACAGCGACCCGGGCGCTGCGGGGATTGTCGCGCACAGAGCGGCTCCGGGGGGGAGTTGTCACTCACAGAATTTATTTCGCAGTCAAATTATCCTCCCTCTTCAATCACTGCTGGAGATAGGCATGAGAAAGCCTTCCAGAGCAGTAAATCTGCTTGAAGCAGAACGGGAACATGCTCTGGGGACTTGTGTACAGACAGGGCCCTTAAAAACACAGCAGAGAGGGAGAGCAAGGCAGCGGTAGCACGGGCTGGAGACACAGAGAGTGACAGAGGGGTTTTATGAAATAACAGTAAAGGAGCAGAAAACACTTGGCCAGTTCTGAGTTTTTATATAAAATGATGTTCATGTTCTCTTGCCCAGCTGCCGCACTCCCTGCTCAGAGCATTTATGGGTGCAGAGCTTTAATCCAGAATTATTAATCTGGATGAATCAACAAAGATGCTCAATAATCTAAAAAATGCAGCTGCTGAAGTTCTCATGGCTGTGGGACAGATCAACAGCTTGCTCAGCTGTAGGTCTGATTTGTTTTAGCCATGAGCAGGGCTCAGTCCTCACAAGGCACAGTTTGTACCCCTGTCCCCAGCTCTCAGTGCTCTGCAAAGGCTTCTTGCTAGGAAACCACAGCCACCAACCCAAACAATCAATTATTAAATTATTGATAAGTTATTGTTGGTGCTGCAGAGTCTCTGTGCCTTGATTTCTGCTGGAAATTGGATCTGCAAGGCTTTAAAGACTGCTTCCAGATTTGAGCAAAAACTACAGGAGGAAAGGACAAAACTGGGGAGGGAACCGGTGGGCAGAGAGGTGGTGCCCTCTCCTTGGAAGGGTCCAAGGGGTGGGATGGTGCAAGGTGGTCTTGCCCATGGCAGAGGTGGCACTGGATGGGCTTTAAGGCCCTTCCAAGCCAAGCCAAGCCAAGCCAAGCCAACTCAACCCAAACCAACTCAATCCAACCCAACTCAACCCAACACAACCCAACCCAACTCAACCCAAGCCACCCCAGGATTCTGTTCCATGACCATCCCACCCTGCAGGCCAGGGGGTGCTGGTGTCTGTACCTCGAGGATGGAGGTCTGGATGTGCAGCAGCTGCTCGTGGCCCTGCAGCTGCCTGACACACACGGTGCAGCACAGCTGGGTGGTGGCGGGGCTGAAGCGCTCCAGGGAGAAGGCGCCGAGCAGGGGCCGGGGGCTGCCGCGCCACACGCGGGAGAATGGCACCTCCTGTGGGACAGGGACACGTCAGGGACAGGGGACACGGCCTGGGGACACACACAGTGCTGCTCTGCTGGGGTGGGCTGGGTAATGGCACCTCCAGGTCTGAGCAAAGATAGAAAATGAGGATTGAGTTGATGGAACTGAGGTGTGGCAATGACCGAGAGCTCAGAGAAACAAGTAATGGGAGATTCTTAAAAAAGATGTTTAGAGAGACTTCAGAAAGATGCATTTCACTTCCTCCCTCTTGCCAAGATCAGAATTCCTCTCTGTGTCTCCTTGAAATCACCTTGTAACCAGAATGCAAGGAAAGAAACTTCCCACTGAGAACTGCCAGCCTTCCCTTCTCCACCCCGAAGGAACTTCACACCAGGAACTGCCCTGGCCCTGCCAACCTTCCCTTCTCCATCCCGAAGAAACTTCCAACCAAGAACTGCCCTGTCAGCCTTTCCTTCCACATCCCAAAGGAATTTCCCACCAGAAACTGCCTTGGTCCTGCCGCCCTTCCCTTCTCCATCTCAGAGGAACTTCCCACTGAGAACTGCCAATCTTCCCTTTTCCATTCCAAAGGAATTTCCCACCAGGATCTGCCCTGGCCCCTCCCTCCTGCCCCAGCTTCCTGCCTGTCCCCAGCCCCCGGCTGGATCCCAAGCTGGAAGCAGCCGCAGTAGTAAAATGCTCCCAATGATAAAGGAAACATTAGCAAAATGTTAGAAGTGGAGCAGCTGTAATTAGATTTTTTTCAGGGTGATGATCTCTGCTTTCACTCCGAGTGGAAGAATCACTCAGCTGAAAGGAGCTGTGTGAAACAAAGCAGAGCAGCAAGGAGTGCTGCAACAATGAGTGCTTGGAGTATTCCAGAGATGCTTTCAGCTCCACTCTGCGTTTATAATTAAACTCCTCGCAGACAGAGGGGCTGTAAATCATCTCCTGGCCCCAGGCAGAGCTGGATCCTCCAGGAGATGCAGATCTGAGCAGCCAGAGGTGCCTGCCCAGCTCCTGCCATGCCCATCCCTGCTCTGCCTGCACCACCCACATCTCTCAGGGATCCCCAGTGGGAAGGGAGCCAAGCCCTGGGCCAGGACAAACACAGGCTCTGAGCAGGAATCCTGGTGCCACCTGCCACCAGCTGCCTCCCAGCAGCTCCTCAGTGTGATTTATTCATCTGCTCGTCCTCCCTGAGACATCATTTCCATAAATCCTCCTCCCCACGCTGCCCGGGGAGGCTCTGCTGCTGGACCAGAGACATTCCTGGAACAGGCTGTGTTCAGTTGTTCCTGCCAGGCAGCACAAGCAGCTGCTCTCACAGGGTGGGACGTAGGAGAGGAGCCCAGGGAACACTGGAAGAAACTCCACGTGCAAAAATAGATCCTTTTCTCTATAAAGGGGCTGGAAGCAAACCAGAGCTGTCACCAGACTCTTCACTGCGAGGGAAGCACCGAGCCAGGGGAGGTTCTGCAGCTCCTCTGAGGAGCAGTGATTGTGTTTCTGAGCTGCCCAAGGCATCCCAGTTACACCAGTTAGAAAATGTAAATTTTCCTCAGGATCAGGGCAGCCCTGGGTTTGGCACAGGCTTTTTTGCAGCCCTGAGCCCCTGCTCTGATCAGGCTCTAAGTGGCACTTGGAGGTTGAATTCCAGACATTTATTCTTCGTGTTTGGAGAAGGGATTAGGAGACAATAAAATAATCAAAGTGTGGAGCTCTATAATCTGCTGAGGGCATAAGTGAATTTGTTGCATTAAGAGGAATCTCCTCTGATTTGATTTTTCTTTTGGGCACACTCTGGCAGGACTGGGACATCCTAACCCTGCTTGGTTTGGCTTTTAAAATACAGATGAGTGGGAAGAACAATCAAAACACCAAAAATCTCTTCCTCCTGAGAAGCTGAAAAGGATTAATTTATTTAATTTCTTAAGCTGTAGGCTGAATTATCCCCACGAGGGATAATTGGGGATTGCTCTGGCTCTGGGTCTGTGTTTATAACTTTCAGAGCCCATTACCCTCTTATGTTTTATGTTTTGGGGAATGTGGCAACACATTTAAAACAGGGTTTTTGCCAAAATTCTGGAGAATGCAAAAACTGTGTCTCTGCTTCTGGGAGAAGGGAGATTGTACATTCTAATTGAGTGCTGTGTTTTAAAACCAGCCCACTCCATGTGCCAGCACATTCCTTAGAATTTCCAGTCATCAAAAATCCTTGGAAATTCTTCTTTTGTTTTGATTTTTCCTTTTCAGTTTTCAACAGCCTCTCTAATTAATGGAGAAGAGAAAAACCAATTTGCTGCTCTTCAGTTCTAATGCTTGCTCTCTGCGTGCTGTGATTTGAACTCGTGGTTACATTTAAATGTCATTTTTAGCCATATTTCCATAGTTATATCAAAACTGCAATGACAGATATTAGAAACATCTTGAGGAGTGGTTAAGTTTGAGCAGGAATATTTGCCTTCTGTTGGAGGCAACTGAAATGGGGGAAGGCAAAAGCATTTCTGCAAAATGACAAATTTACAGCGTTATGGTGTAAACGAAATCTGTGTTTGTCAGAACCAAGAGGCAACATGTTTTTGTTAAACGCTCAGAGGGTTTAAAGCTTTTTAAATAAAAGGAATCTCGGTTCATTTGGGTTTCATTTGGGTTCTCCCCCAGTGCAGGGGGAAGCAGTGAAATGAAATGCCAGGTACCTGACAGGCAGTGAAGGGTTTGATTCTCCACAGGAAGGGAGGCACGTCCAGCACTGAGATCTGGAGGCTGCAGGTGTTGCCTTTAAAATGCAGAAGTTTGGGTTCCTCCAGCAATTGTCCCCCTTGGAGCCTTTCATCCGAAACCACTTCCTGCAAGGGAGGAGGAGAGAATATTTCCAGTATCAGGAACAAAGCCCAGATCCAGTGATTTGGGGGTTCTGGATCCAGGGATCCAGAATTCCCCTCTGTGGGGGTCCCAAGTTCCCCCACAGCATTGAATGGACAGTGGAGTCTCTCTCGTGGGCAGCTGATGGTATTTATAATATAAATATTTATATTTATAAATATTTGATATTGATATTTCCCAGAAGGCTGGGTTTGGGCACTGCCAGCCCCATTTCTGGGCAGATAATGCTGGTTGGACACTGAAATTTTGGCTGTCTCCAACACTCCCAGTGCAGCCCAGCACAGCTGGATTCCAGAGCAGCTTTGCTGGGGAACTTCTCTGAGGGCTTTTCAGAGCCTTCAAACGCTTCAGGTGAAACCATTCACTTCCATTTCCCACCTCTGGGGCACATCCAGAATCACTGCACAAGACCCTGAGCAGTGTGAAGGGCAGACTCTGGGCAGGGGTTTGCACTACAGCCCTCCAGAGCTCCGTTCCAAGAGAAATATTCATGTAATTCGGTGAATTTAAAACATAATGGCAAAAAAAAAAATCACCCCTGCCGGTACTTAAGCAATGTTTATTCCTGTGCTGCTGCAGTAAAAACACCAGTGAGGGAGGAAAGGTTGCAGAAGTCTTTAAAAATCAGCAGGCAAGCAGTGCTTCCAAATTACCTTTCTCAATCCACATAAATTATATCAAATGTGTGTCCATGGAAGGGGTTTAGTGCTTGTCAGGACCAAAGTCGCCGTTAGAGGAGCTCCTGGAATCACTGTGACCTTCTGCAAATTCAATGCTCCAGCTCTCTGAAACTGCACTAATGGATTTCTATTATAAACCAATTTTTTTTTCCAGGCATTTAGGTTGGTTTAACCCCTGGTGGTGTTCCAGACTGCAAGGCAAGATGTATTTATTCTATTTGCCATCGGCATGGCAGCTGTCTTTTGTCCAGTTTGCAGTTTTCCTTATCTCTTCCACAATCACTCTTGGGAGGGGACATCTACTGATAAGAGGCCATTGAATGTCCCTGCATGGCTGATAAGAGCTACAGCGTCCCATTGGGAGATGTGAGCCCAGGGGGAGGAGCCAAGCATTCCTGCCTGGATATAATCTGGGGATTCTGGAACACCAGCACGGCTTCTCCACTGGATTCCCCAGAGGAGCAGCAGCTGCCTCTGCCACTGGATCTTCAGAGGAAGAATACATCCTTCTCTACAGGATCCCTGCTCCAGCAGAACCACCCCTGACACTGCAGGAGGGCTAAGCCACAATTCCAATGGGACTGCTGCCAACACCCTGACCCACAGCGTGTCAGGTTGGGTTCTGACTCTGGCAGTGTTGGTTTAGTTACTGCATTGTTTATTTTATCCTTTTATTTTCTTCCCTATTAAAGAACTGTTCTTCCTGCTCCCATATTTTTGCCTGAGAGCCCCTTAATTTAACATTTATAGCAATTCAGATGGAGGGGATTTACATTTTCCATTTCAGGGGAGGCTCCTGCCTTCCTTAGCTTCCTGTCTTTCCAAACCAAGTCAAGTGGTTGGGTTCATCTGAAGAAAGAAAATTGTGAGATTTCAGTTTTTTGGTTTCCAGCCACAGAGGGAGCAGATTATTTCTTAAACATTCTCAAAATTCCTGGAGAATGTTGGATGGCTGTGAATGTTGTGTAAGTGCTGCTCTGCCTTCACTGACAGATGTGGGGGTCCTCCCACAGCAGCCATATTTGGGGCAAAACACAAAGGACCTGGGTCTCTTCAATTTTGAGGGCCAGGGGTTTCTCAGCACACTCAGAACTTCCCAAAGGCCCAAGGCAGCTGCTGGAGGAGCAAGGAGAGTTTCCAGCCAGAGAAAAAGTCAAAAACAAGGGAATTTTGTCTCTTACATAAACCTGCACTGTGCAGGATTAACTGCCAAACACCACTTGGCAACCCCAGCTCTGACATTTTATCCAAAAACCTCTGAAATTCCCTCATCCAAAAACTTCTGTGATTTGCCATATTTTATCCAAAAAACTCTGTAATCCCCCAAATTTTATCAAAAAATCTCTGTAATTCCCCATATTTCATCCAAAAATGAAATTCTCCATATTTTATCCAAAAACCTCTGAAATTCCCCATCTTTTACCCAAAACCCTCTAAAATTTGTCATATTTTATCAAAAACTTCTGAAATTTGACCTATTTAATCCAAAAACCTCTGAAATTCCCAGTATTCCTAACATTGCCTTGCTTTTAGGGCTGCATCACGCCATAGATGCAGGATTGTCTCACTATCCACACACACCCTGCTCACTCCTGGCAAGGCAGAGAACTGGTAATTATTCTTCTGATCATTTCCTCCAGACTCATCAGGAAGACACCGGTACCCACTAATTGTCTAAGTGTTATAAAGAGGATAATTAGGCAGCCATTGTGAGCCTCTAACAATCCTTTTGGTGCCTTGGCTTTTATTAGCAGCACAGAGACAGCAGCTCCACTCACAGCCCTGTTCTCATTCCTGTGCCACAGCAAGAGGAAGGAAAAATTCATCTCATAACTGTTTGCATTTCAGTTCCCCAAAGAACAGCATTTTATCCAAAAACCTCTGTAATTTGCTGTATTTTATCCAAAAACCTCTGTAATTTGCCATATTTTATGGCAAATTTCATGTCACAACTCTTTGCATTTCAGTTCCCCAAAGGACAGCATTTTATCCAAAAATCTCTGTAATTCCCCGTATTTTATCCAAAAACCTCTGTAATTCCCCATATTTTACCCAAAAACCTCTGTAATTTGCTATATTTTATCCAAAAACCTCTGTAATTCCCCATATTTTATTCAAAAACCTCTGAAATTCCCCATATTTGATCCCAAGACCTCTGTAATTCCCTGTATTTTATCCAAAACCCTCTGAAATTCCCCATATTTTGAGCTCCTGAGTTTACCAAAAGCCAGAGAATGTCACTGTTGTGTCCTGGAACATGGTGCAGGAAAAATCATTCTGATCCCAAGTGCCACGTGGGGATTTGGTTTGTTGGGTTTTTTAAGAGGAAATGCAGGATAATTGAATTTTTGTAAACCAGGGCTGGGTGAGTTTGGGCAGCTGAGAATGTGGCAAAAAATGAGAGAGCAAACAAGAGAGTTTGGCTGCCCTAAAGCTCTCAGTGTAAATCCACAACTGCAGGGAATTTAAGGGATTTATTCAAATGGTGCAGCAAGTGCTTTAAAAAATCCAATATTCCCATTGGGTTAAGGTTGGGGATGAAAGGAGCAAAAGGGTTTAATAGGAAAACCAAGCAAGCCCAGAGGAGCAAAGTGAAGGCATTTACCTGGAATGCACAAGGGGTGTTATCCACACAATAAACCCTCAGATTGTAATCCAGAGAATTGCAAGACAGGCAGCCAAAAACGGCGACTTTCAGCTGTCGAATGGCGCAGTCTGAGATGGGTTCCCCAATTAGGGCATAAGTTCCAAAGCTGTTTAAGAGAATGTGACAGGCATAAGGATCCAACAGGCAGTAGCAAGAAGTAGTTTCCTCTTCCACAGACATCACTTCCTGCAAAATGAAATTCAGGTTTAAAGAGAATAAAGCGAAGCGGAATCAATAGGCCTCGACAATAGGAGTCATGGCATTAATTCTTTATTTTTATTCAATTGGAGTGCAGTGTGTTGCTGAGAGCCACTCTGGAGGAAGGGGAGAAGGGGGACTGCTTTCCTGAGTAAATATTCCCAATTTAGCCCTGAGTCAGCAGGAGGATTTATGGCCATGCCCAGCACAGAGCTCGCTGTGTACATACAATAATAATGATGATGCCTAAGCAATTTTAGCAGCTTTTTTCAAGTGCTCTTGACTTTCTGGATAATTTTTCCCCCCAGTGTCAAGTTAAAAAATTACCTTGAAGGTTAAAGTCAATAGGCAAACCTTGAACAATGGCTTGGCTTTGACTTCCTTCCAGAACACCCATTACAGCCACGGTTCCTTTCCTCAAAAACTCCCTCTGCTCTGCCCCTGCTGCTCAGTCCTGTCCTGTGTCCCTCTGTCTCTGTGTCCTGTGACCCTCTGTCCATCTGTCCTTCTATCCCTCTCCTCAGTGACCCAGGCTGTCTGAGGCCAGCACTGCTGGAGCTGCCCAGGGACTGAGTAAATCTGAATCAGGAAAATGGGACTGGGAATGGTTTAAAGCACAGCAAAACCCAGACAGGGGTTCAGAGAGGGACAGGACAGAAGGACAGGCTGCATCCATGGCGTCCATGGCATCCATGGCATCCATGGCTGGGCTTTGTAGCCATAAACTTCTGCACATCTTTGTGTGAAACACCCAAACCCAATTCTGCTGCTTCATCACAAAACACAAAATCTTTTTTGCTGCGATTGTTTCTTCTTCTCTGTGTCTATCCCCACCAGAACCTTTGCACCAAGGCTTAACTCCATTTCCACACTGGGTGTAGGGTATAGAATATAAGAAAATAAAGATGGTATAGAATGTAATCTTAGCCCCTAAAGAGCTGCAGCCGAGCCAATTATTAAGGATTAGGAGCAGGCCTGATGTTAACAGGCTGCAGCCAATAAGAAGAGTGTTATAAAAGAGTGGATTGGTTGGTTGAGGGAACTGGAGTCACTGGCTGCTGTGAGGACAAGGATGAGTCAATGCCTAGAGGAGATGCCTACAAGAAACATCAAGGAGGTACAAAACTCTAGTGATATGGAACCCTTGCAATGTACTGACAATAGAACTCTTGCACTGTCATGACAACAAATGGTGATCCCGACGTGATTCAAAAGAAATGACCCCGATGCGACAACAACTGGGCACAGCCTGGGGCTGGGCTTACCTCCCACTTGCCCTGCTGGGTCCTCCTTTTGAGGTGGATGCTCCAGTGCTGGGGGTCGGCGTGGGCGCAGTGCGGGATGCTCAGGGCGCAGGGGGTGCTCACGGCCAGCTCGGGGGGCCCGCAGCTCACCTCAGGGCCCAGCAGCACCTCGGGGCCCTCCGGCTCCAGGCTTGGGGCAGCAAAGACAAGAGTGGCTGTCAGGAGTGAGAATTCACTGAAAAGAGTTCAAATCCAAGCGCCTTCCTCATCTGTCTTGGGGTTTCTGTGGTCAGGATGACCCCAAGATGTATTAAAAAATCTTTTTTCCCAGACCAGCAGCCAAAGAAGGAGTCATGATTCCTTGGCTCTCCTTCTCAAGGTTGTTAGATAAGAAATAATAATTTCTTATCTGTCACATTCTGTCTCTGACCTGCTGAGATCTGTCCAGCAGGTCAGGTTGTGGCACAGTCCCTGCCCTTGGGGTGCTGTTGCTTTTTATACCAAAAACCACATGGACTTTAATTACAATAATTTTCCAATACCTATCACCTATGTTAGACAGTCTGTTGCTACTCTAAAGCAATCCAAAAGTGTCACCATCCCAGCAAAAGATGGAGGACAAGAAGAACGACAGGACACACCCAGATTCCTCCATCTTGCCTCCTGAATCCCCATTCTAAACCCCCAAAATTCTACATTTTCACCCTGTGACAAATTACCCATCATTCTACTCAAACTCTTGTCGCTTGTAATTCCTCACACAAAGTCAATAATTTTTTCCAAGGGCTAAAATCAAAGGCACAGGTGTTTTTGACTCTGTGCAAAGATCTCTGAGCCCCCTGCCAGGGTCTTGAGTCCCCCAGGACAGCCAGAGGAATTTCCTGGGCTCCCACACTGCTGCTCATTTCTGCTCATTTCACGTGGAAGCAGCAGCTGGAGATGAAACAAACCCATCAGACCCCATCTAACTCCAATCAGTGGTCGGTCAGTTTAGGACTCTGGTATTTAAAACACATTTCAATTTGTTTAACCCAAATCCAGCGCTGGAATTGCTCTGTGCCAGCCAGCCCAGCTCCGAGCACCAGCTGGTCCCGTCCCCATCGTGCTCTGCCTTCAAACGCTGCCATCAACAATATTTTCACAGGAGCGAAGATAAAACAAATTATGGCTGAAAAAACACAGGCTCATAAATTCTTCCAGATTGAGTGTGATCTCCCTGCTTTGAAAACCCATTTGTATTCTGCAGGAGGAGGGAGCTCGGTGAGTTTTACAGACTCAGGGACAGGGCTGTGCTTGGAATTAGGGCTGGGGCAGGTGGAGCCGTGGCTGTGGCTCTGGGACAGGCAGGGGAGATCCCACCTGAGCTCCAGGGATTCACCTGGGCTCAGTCAATGGTTGCATCCTCTGCCTGCTGCCTTCCAGAGATGTGTAATCTGCTTTTCTTCTCTCTCACTCCAACAAACTGGAGCCACCCCCACATCCACGTGTTTTCTGTATCTCTTGGAATGAATCCCTGGGCAGGAGCAGTGCCAGAGTGGAGGAGAATCCCTTGGACACTGAACCAGCAATTGAAACCTCTTGCCCTGCTGGTTTTGTTGCTGTTTGGTTGTGTTTTAATCCATTTGGGTTCCAAATCGCTGCGCTTGCAGTTCCCCCTTCAAACGAAAGCAAATGGTGTTTCCAAGATAAAAAATGAGAGGAGGAACCTCAACCAAGGTAAAAATTACTGAAAGGACCTCAACCAAGATAAAAAAAATATAAGATACAAGAATAAAACCAAGATATCAAAAGGGGAAAAGCCCAAGTTGACTTGGGTACCCCATTCCATTGCTCTGACATGGAGCTGTAGCTGTGGGTGCCCAGAAAATGCCCTTTCCAACCAACATTCCTGTTAAAGAGAGACTGGAATGTTCCAAGGCTCCCCTCAGTCTGTGTGTGCAAGTGTTGGTGAGAGGGAGACTGCAGGGGAGGAAAAAAAAGACACAACAGGGTAACAAAAAAAAGCCAGTTCCTTTTTTCCCCTCTCTCAAGTGCCACAAAAATAAATTCTGCTGAAGCCTCGGTGCTTCCAAGTGTCTGTAGGATTCTCAAGCAAAAAAAAAACAAAAATGAAAGCACACCCAGAGCCCGAGGTGCTCTGAGCAGGGAGAGGAGCAACAGGCACAAGAATTCCAAGGGTTCCACAGGAGCAGCACTCCAAGGGCATTTGTGTGTCCCTCTCAGAGTCACAGCAGGGTGGTGGCCCCAGCAGTGGGGACCAGGAGTGGCTCCTGCACCTTCCACCCCAAACCCATGAACAAAGACAGGACCGTGATCCCAAATCTCTCACCTGGACTCCCTCTGGGTGATGGCCAGGTAGATTTCCCAGGAACTGTCCTCTGGAATGGCCCCGTGTGGAATCAACAGACTGACCCCTGGAAAAGAGCAAGGGCAGGAGTGACCTTTGGGAAGGGCAGGGCTGCCAGGGACAGGGAGCACCACCAGAATGTTCCTCTGCACTCCTGCTTCTCATGGCAACCTCACCAAATGAAAGGAACATGAATTATCCAAGGAAATCAAGCTGTTGCTTTCCCATCAAAGGAAACTACATCTTATTTCCCATAAAGCCTCTTAGAGGCTCTTTAATTTTTGAAATCACACCTGATCATTGTGGGATCCCAGGGAATCTCCCCATGGAGAGGGGGATCATCATTTGTCCCCAGTCATCCCAGCTCCCGCACCCCAGTGATCCCATCCTCCTTGCAAACCACCAGAGTGGATCAGAAGTTAACAGGGCAGTTTTACACTGCTTTATCTCACTCTCAGGAGAGGGGGGATGTGTTTGGCATCTGCCACATGATGCAGAGACTTGGTGAGGCACCGACTCGATCACACTGGAATTTACAACTGCTTGGCACAGCTGATCTTACATAAAGGCAGCAAGAATTACATAAATTTCAAGTGGACCAAATACATATTTTAATAATCTAATTGATGGGACTATCATTACATAAAGTAGCTAAATATACAGTATGAGGGAATTCTTAATTCATGCCTTAACTTGGTGCCTCTGCAGTGTTCCTTCCTCAGCACAAAACCAGTCTGTGGAGAAATGAAAACATTCCCCACATTGTGCATGCCTGGGCTGTCACTGATATCAATCCTCTCTAAACACAAGCCACGTTTTTTATGGTAACCTTTAAAGCACCCGTTTTGTGGGACATGAAGGATAAAGCTCTAAATCATCCAGTTCAACCAGAGAGCAGCAGATAATCCTGGAGCCACTGCTCAAACGAAAACAGAACTGAATTTAAAGTGGATAAATATCACTAGAGTTGAAAGATGATAACACCTAGCTGGCAGTATCTGGGCTTTTTGTGCTGTGTTTTGGGGAGAGAAAATACCCAGGGTAAGGGCTGGGATTTGGGGTGATGCAAACACAGCCCTGGGGTGTAGCTGCAGGGCTGTGACCCTGCCAGGCTCTGATTTTCTGCCAGCACATTCCACAACAAACAAACAACCCTGCAGGTCTGAAACACGTCCCACAAAGATCAGAAAAGTCAAAAAGCATCCAAAGCAGAGGGAGCATCCCAGCCTGGGACAGGGGCCCTGCTTTGGAAATCTGGAGAGATTTTGCTCCAAGGAAAGGGAAAAGAGGCAGGCAGGAGGGGCAGGAGCCTGGTGGGCAGTGGAGCTGTCCCCAAGCCTGGCTGCTGTCCCTGTGTCCCTCTGTGGGGCTGGAGCTGCTGCTGGAACGTGAGCATACTCTTACGTAAGATCCAGCACCGACCCTTCCCGGGGAGCCTCTCCTCTGGAGCAGCATGCAAGCAAGGCACAGCTTTGATTAATGTGACTTTCATGCTGAAGACATCAAGAGAGGCAGTAATTTAAAACAGTTCAAACAGGCATAATGCCTCTTCAGTCCTCAGCCCAGGCTTCCCTCTGATCACTCGTGTCCTGTGTGGGCAACATGCCCTACTTCCAAAATTTGCATTAACGGGGCCCCTGCTTCTTCCTTCCTGGAGAAAAATTTTAAATTTTAATTTTTTTAAAAAATTCAGTTATAAAACACTACATCAAGCAGCCTAAGCTCAAATTCCTCTGCGTGCTTTGATGAGCAAGGAGCCACCTGTTGAGGTGTGATGTCACGGTTTGCCTCAGAACCTTGGGTTCCTCCTTGATAATTCCCTCCCAGGTGTGTCAGTCACCTCTCCTTTCCCCTCCCAGCACTGGAATTCCAGAATTGGCAGATTCACAGGATGCCCTCTACCCCTGGGGGGCATTGGGCCATCCAGGTGTCCTTTGTCCCTTTGTCCCTCCCCTCCTGTCCCTGCTTGGTGGCTCCCTGCCCCTTCCCTGCCCCTCTCCCCAGGGTTCAAAGGAGCAGCAATCCCGGGCTCAGGGCATTCTGTTGGAGCTGGTGCTGCATTCAGAGGCCAGAATAAAGCTCTGGATCCAAACCCTCCATCAGAACCGACTCCTTTCCTTCAGCATCGCCTTAAAGCTTCTCTGCCAGAGGGAAACCTGAGGAGCAGCCCCTGTTATGGGGGGAAGCTCCATCCCAGCACCACCAGAGCTCCTGCAGGCCTGGACTTGTCCCCACAGGCCCAGCTGCAGCACCCAGCCAGCCCAAAGTGTCTGTGGGGTGAAACACCACACACCCAGCCAGCCCAAAGTGTCTGTGGGGTGAAACACCACACACCCACCAGCCCAAAGTGTCTGTGGGTGAGACACCACACACCCAGCCAGCCCAAAGTGTCTGTGGGGTGAAACACCACACACCCAGCCAGCCCAAAGTGTCTGTGGGGTGAAACACCACACACCCAGCCAGCCCAAAGTGTCTGTGGGTGAAACACCACACACCCAGCCAGCCCAAAGTGTCTGTGGGGTGAAACACCACAGTGCCGCTGTTTGGTTCAGCACCAAGGCCAGACAAGCTCCCATCCACACGTCCCATCACCAATATTGGTAAATATTCCAATAACCACCCACCTGTGTTGGGGACCACCAAGCGTCCCCCCAGGTGCCCGAACAGGGCCGTGCTCCTCAGCTCGCTGCTGCTGGAGATGGAGGCCAGGTTCTGGATGAACATGGCCTTGTTCCTGGCCTGGAGGGTCCCAAAGGGCCTGGGGCTGCCGTGGGGGAAGGTGCCGGGGTGGGCCTTGCCGTGGAACTCGGCCCGCTCGGTGACGCCCAGGGACACCATGAAGGAGCTCTGCACCTTGACCTTGATGTCGGCCAGGGGGTTGAACAGGGAGGACTCGGTCATCAGCTCTTTGTCCAGCGGGTCCTGCAGGCAGATGGGGCCACTGTAGGTCCTGCTGACCGTCAGCTCGGGCTGCAGGGACGAGTTCAGGAGCAGGGAGTTACCTGTGGGGACACCAGCAGGGGTGGAGGGTGAGAGGAATGGGGGGTTTGTCTTTCCAAACAAGCTGGTGGATAAAACCAGCACTGGGAGAGAAAAGAAACAATGGGAAGGATTCCACTGATTGATAAATGGAAAAGGATATTTTCTTTTACAAATAAATTTTAGGTTTGCTGATAAACGAAATTAGACATTGAAATATGAAAGAAACAATGGGGAAAACACCCTAAATTCCATAAGAATTAAAAATTAATTTTAATTTTACATTAGAGGGAAATTAATTTTAATTTTACATTAGATGGTTTTACATTAGAGATGAATCTTTGGGATCAGGTGTTCTGGGAAGTCTGAACCTCTCAAGTACCTCAGAAATGAGGAAAAAACCCCTAAATTCAGTAAGAACTTAAAATTAAAAGGAGTGTTATGCATTAAAATGAACTCTTTGGGATCAGGTGTTTTGGGGAGTCTGAAGCTCTGAAGCAGCTCAGAAACAGGGAAAAAGAGAAGGGAAATGTGGCTGGAAATTGGGATAAAAAGGGAGGCTGCGTTCTCCAAAAATTGGAGAGACCCCAGGGGATGCCCCATAGCCTCTGCCTTGATTGGAATAAAGTCACAGGACTACTCTGTCTCCTTTTTGGACCTAAACACCCCTGGTGTTTGTGGATTAATTTTCCTGACAAAAGGACACCTCAGCAACCCTGCCTGAGCCCTCAGAGCCCAAAATCCCTGTTGGATTTTGCAAACATCAAGTGCCAGACCTTGGCCCAGTTCCTCCCAAAACACCAGGTCATGTGAGAGAGCAGAACTGGTGCCAAGATCTGACACTTGGTGTTTGCCAGGCCTCAGGCAGCTCCAGAGTGCAGGAATAATCCAGGAAGGATCCTTTGGTTTGGATTCACGTCGATGTGTTTGCCCTTTTGCCTGTCTTGTTGTTTTCCTTCCTTACATTAAACCCCACTGGGTGACAACATCTTCCTGCAGACCTTTTACACAAACCCACAGCCTGAGGGAAACTGGGCTGAAAGGGAGGTGGGACAAGAGTGATACAGAGAAACACACCACAGTTATTAATTTTGAGATGTTTTACCTCAGAAAACGCTCTGAAAAATGAGGAGTGCATGGATTTAGAGTCCTCTGGCTGCTTGGTTTTGTGGTGGGGTCTTTTTCTTTGGTTGTTTAGTTGGGTATTTTCAGAGCCTCCAGAATGAAAGGTTTTTTAAGCATTAAGCCAAGCAAACAATTCCCCAGACTCAAAAGAAGACTCAGACTGAACCACAAAGGAAAATGTTCTTGTTTGAGACAGTCATTGAGATTTACACAGCCCTAATTAAAGGTTTGGATTTAGAAATGGATGAATGAACTTCCTTCAAACGTCCTTGTCTGCCAAGCCCTTTTGCCAATTTCTTGCAAGTCATGCTTGGTGAGGAACGTCTCCAGGAAAGAAAGAAACTGTAAAAAACAACCCCACAAAACCCCCCCAAACAAACTCTGCAACATATTTCCCTTTTCTGCAGAGAGAACAGAGACATGGGGACACTTTCACAGCCTGCCCACGCTCCCACCCACCCACAATCAGGCAGGTCTGAGGTAGAATGGCAGCACAGAATCAATAAACATCCTGCTTCCATCCCCTCTCCCTCCCCACCTTCCTGTTCTGAGGGAATAACATTCCTGGAAACCCAAGCGCTGCTTTTAGCAAAGGTTTTGTCCATATTTTATGGCACTGGCGGTGTTTTCTAGAGCTTTAGGGGTCTGGTTTTACACAAATTGATTTCCCTCAGTGCCTGTGTTACAGCAGGTTACAAAACACTTCCAGCTGGGAGTCTTGGATTATCAGGAAAAGAATAATTCCTTTTATTGGAGAGAAGGAAAGCTCTGAAACTGAGAACACGAGGAGCTCCAGCTGTGCTGCCCGGGCTTGCTCTGATTTGGTTGCTTGGCTTTAATTTGAGCTTTTCCTAAATCAGTGGAGGAGCTGGGGATTTTGGAAGGGACATGGGGATTTTGGATGCTGGACAGAACTCCTAAAGCATCTGGAGCATGGCCAAGGAGGATCCTGGGTTTGTGGGACAGAGCAGAGCCAATTCCAGGTCGTTATCCCTATCCCTGGCTGCCCTAAACCCCCTCTCCAAACGCAGGCGAGCCTGAGCAGCGGGAGATGCTCTGATTTGGTTGCTTGGCTTTAATTTGAGCTTTTCCTAAATCAGTGGAGGGGCTGGGGATTTTGGATGCTGGACAGCATTTCTAGAGCATCTGGAGCGTGGCCAAGGAGGATCCTGTGATTGTGGGACAATTCCAGGTCCCTGTCCCCACTCATCCCATCCTCCTTGCACACCACCAGAGTGGATCAGAAGTTAACAGGGCAGTTTTCCATTGGGTACCACTGCAGTTAAACTGCTGTATCTCGCTCTCAGGAGAGAGGGGGGATGTGTTTGGCATCTGCCACAAGATGCAGAGCCTTGGTGATGCCCTGACTCCATCAAACCCCCTCCCCAAACGCAGGCGAGCAGTGGGAGCTCTGCAGAGAAGAAAGGAAATCGCCGCACTAACCTTGTCTGACTGTTTTAAAATTAAAAGTCTGGAAGCCTCCCGTGAGTGCAGAGGAATCAATGACATCCACGCCGTACTCACTCTGACTGCGCCGGTACAGGGTCACCCCCAGCGCCAGCACGGCCACCGCCAGCACCGCCGCCGCCAGCCCCGAGTACAGCGCCACGTCCGCGCCACGCTCCACGTCTGCGGAGAGAGAGGGGTCAGGGACAGGGACAGGGGGATGTGGGGATGTGGGGGGATGTGGGGGGACAAGAGCTGTGTCAGGAGAGGGGACATGGGGTGACACAGGGACATGGGGGATGTGGGGACATGGGGGATGTGAGGGGACAAGAGCTGTGTAAGGGACATGGGGACATGGAGGGACAAGAACTGCCTCAGGGACACGGGGACATGGGGGATGTGGGGACATGGAGGACAAGAGCGATGTCAGGAGAGGGGACATGGGGGGTCACAGGGACATGGGGGTTCTGGGGACATGGGGGACACGGAAGGACAAGAACTGTGTCAGGGACATGGGGACACGAGGGGATAGGGGAACATAGGGGAATATGGAGGGACATGGGGAACCAAGGTGGAGCTGGGTGCACGAGCAGGGGCAGTGCTGGACAAAAAGGGCTGAGAGGGTGAGCGGAATTCCCGATGGAGGACCCCAAAGTGGAGAGCCTGTTTGGGTTTGGGTTGGGGACTGGGGAGAAGGAATTGACTGCTGTGACAGAATGAATCCTGCAATATTCCATAACTGAAATATCCCATCCCGCTCTCCTCGATCTGCTGGAATTTGTGCACTATGGAATTAAATCCCTTGGCACATCCCCTTAGAGCGTCCCTGAATTTCTAGCTCCAGGGTGAGGGGAGGGAGCTCAGAGCCCACCCTGGGCAGGGTCTGGGTCCTTCTGGGGGCTTCTTCTGCACGGCAGAGCCCCAGGAATAGAAACTGGATTTGTTCAGGGCCAATGAGATCAACAAAAACTAACTGGGAAATCCAGAGTGCTCCGTGTCAGTGAATGCACTGCACTGCACAGAAATAGGTTGGAAAGTTAAAAATCAGCATTTAATAAACAGCCAATTACAGAAATTACTTAATTACTGCTTGGGAGGAGGCTTCTGTTGTGCTTTTCTGCTGAAAGTCAGATAATTTCATTTTAGCTGAGTTTTGAAAACGAGCGTGAAACTTCAGAGTGTTGAGATGAAAGGAACGAGCACCTCTGGGCAGCATTTCCTTGGCTCAACACTTTCTGACAAAAAAGAAGTGTCTGAAAAGTGAACCGAACCTTTGATTTTACTTTGGATTGGACCCTGCTCCAGGTGCTGGGACTGAATTTCAGCTGGGCACTCCAATCCAAAGTAAAATCAAAGGTTTGGTTCAAACATCCTTGACAGAAAACGTCCCTCCCATCCCCACTCTCCAACTGGTCCCAGTCACCCCCAACCATGAGATTCCAGCACCCAAAAGAGATGTTTGGGTATCAGTTTTACCAGAACCACTTAACCAGAAGAAATACTGAAAGAAAATACTACTGCAAGAGTATTTTCCTGCTTTGCAGGGAAATACTCCTGTAAAATTTCTGCTGCATTTTTGAGTAATCTGTGAATGGAAAATGGTTCTGCTTTTAACATGTTCACAACTTGCTGGGAAGGAAAACAAAAATCACCAAGTTTACATGGAAATATCAGCTTTGGGGAAGAATCCACCTTCTGTGGCAGGTCAGGAAGCCACACTGAACAAATTTGTAAGGTTACAAAATTCAACTTCCTAGAACAATTCCATTGTCACACCAAATCAATCACTAAAAGAAACGTTTGGAGTGTTTTTCCCTGAAACCCTTTTTTTCCCTTTTATTTTCCATGAGATTTCCCCTTAAAAAATGCTGTAAAGAAAATTTTAAGCTCAGTTTGGGATTGCAGGGAGTGAGATACTGGCTGACAATGTAAGAAGGGGACAGACCAGAAAGAAAAAGCAAAGAAAAGGGGTCCAAAGGTAAACTGGAAATGTCTCAGATGGGACCAAAACCACACAAAGCCCAGCCCAAAGCTCCTCTCCCCCAGCCCTGTTTTGTTCCCCAGCACCAGGTGCAGAAAGGGAAGTACAGGCAATAATTACATTTCTATTTCTTCCAATTTCCTATTCCCGAGTTGCTGTGTTGTTACAGGGAATTAATTATGACTTGCTATTGTTGAGTTAATTTCTGTGGGTAATTAGAGCAATGAGTGAGGCAGGAGGAGGGAGGAGATGGATCTCCAGGAACAATTGGGGTTTTTCCCTTCCCAGGGAGAGCTCCTGGGTTTTGCACCACAAAGCATCTCCAACTCTTCCCTTTGGATCGCTGCTTTAAAAAAGGAAAGTGCTGAAAATGGGAATTATCCCTCCTGCCCTGCTGGGATGATAAATGATCGAGTCTGAGAGATGCAGAAATATCCTGGCAGGAAAAGCTTCCAGCCCCAGGACTGCAAATGGGGAGGATCCCAGAGCTCATCTCCTGCCCACTCCTCAGGTGCTCTGGAATTCCCATTTCTGCCTCTAAATCCCCTCAGGGGCTTCAGCATCTCCTTCTCCATCCATTCCCATGTCAGGCAATTCCCCTTTCCCATTTTTACACAATTCTACACGGGTTAAAGATGAGAGGGAGGGCACAAAATCTAAAAAAGTGGGAGCGGTTGGACTCAAGCAAAATCCTTCTGAGGAGAAGAATTCTCTTTTCATTGACTCTGAAATATCTCCAGGGCTTGAAGTGGAGCCTGGTCTATAAATTTGATGATTGAAACCTCCCAAGGGTCCTTCCCTGGGATGAGTTGGTGGTTGCTGAGTTCCCAGAGCTTCCCCAGTGCCAGGAAAACCCTCACAAACCTCAGGGGAGCAGAGCTCAGAGGATCCTCCTCAGGGTTTAGTGGGGTTTTAAACAGCTTTGTGCTAAAAGGGCAAGACCAGAGCAGCTCAGTATTCCTGGAATTATTCCCATGGAACACAACTCCTTAAGAAAGGAGCCTTTCTTTTGGGATTATGGTGTTTCTTTAGAAACAACCACTGTTTTTTTTTTTTTAAAGTATTTTTACCTCTTTACCTTCTGGTCTTTTCTTTTGGAGAATTCCTTCCATTGGAGATTAGAAATTAAGGGAAGGGGGAAGGCGTGGGAAATCTGGGGGAGCAGGGTGAGGTTCTGCTTTTCCTTTTTTCCCAGAAGGGAACAAAGTGGAAAAGCAACCAAACAAACCAGAAAAGCAAACATTTATAGTCCACCAATTATTCCTTAATGAGCTGCATCCTCCCGGCCCAGGGGTGGGAGGGACCCTGGCAGGCACCACAAATTTTATCCCTTTCTGCTCCAGGATCCATGTTTGTGGTAATTGCAGCCCATTTTTCACTCCACCTCCTGCCACTGTTACACAACATTTATTGAAAGCACATTTGATGGTAATGAAGTTTCTATTAACTATGATTAAGTTTCATAAAGCACCTGAAGATAATTTAAGATGCGCAGGAGCAGAAAGTGAAACATTTGGTTTAGTGCATTAGGAGAGGTAATTGATTAAATTATCTCATTTCCAAGCAGAGATTTGCAGGAGCTGTGCAGGGCCCACCTCCCCAGCTCCAGCAAGGAGGGGAGGGCTGGGAGATGGGCAGGAGATCCCAGAGGTTCCTCCCAGGCTCTTCCCCATCCCTCCCACAGCCCAAAATCCTTCTCCTCACTCTTGGAGCACAGGGATCGTGAGTCAGGGGCTCAGGGGAAGAGATCCTTCAGTGGAACAGGCTGTTCCCCAATGATCTTCATCCCTGGCTCTGATTTTGCATCCTGGAGCAGCTCCTGCTCCGTGAGCTCTGTGTCCCTGCCCTGCTGGGACCTCTGCTGCTCACAGTGACCCCGAGATGTGGTAAAGTCTCTTTTTCCAGCCCAGCAGTCAAAGGAGGAGTCAAAACTCTTCTATTTTCATTCTCAATGTTGTTTATTGTTTCTTATCTATAAAATTCTTTCTCTGGCCTGCCGAGGTCCATTCAGCAGGTAAGACAGAAGCAGGGCTAAATTCCTGCTGATGTCCCACCCTGGCAATGCCCTACAGCCCTTTCCAGGGGTAAATTCCTGCTGATGTCCAACCCTGGCACAGCTCAAGGCCCTTTCCAGGGGTAAATTCCTGCTGATGTCCAACCCTGGCACAGCTCAAGGCCCTTTCCAGGGGTAAATTCTTGCTGATGTCCAGCTCAAGGCTGTTTCCAGAGGGAAATCTCACTGATGTCCAACCCTGGCACAGCTCTACAGTCCTTTTCAGGGGAAATTCCTGCTGATGTCCAACCCTGGCACAGCTCAAGGTCATTTCCTCTCCTCCTGGGCCTCGTCCCCCTGCTCTCCTGCCCTGCTGGGGTTGGCAGAGATGCAGGTGCAGGGCAGAGCAGCCCTGAGAGGATGCCAGGCACGGAAACACCCTCCAGGTGAGACAGGAGGGAGCTGAGCAGGACCAGAACTGCACCAGTAACCACAAATTCCAGCAGAAATCCCTTTTTTCCCAATTCCAGAGGTCGATCCTGAGCTGAGCATGCCCTGAGCCAGGGCTCCCTGTCAGACAGGGATTGCTGAGGATGATCCCCTGGCTCACTGAACCTGCAGATGCTAAAGCCTCTCATAAAACCTTGGCTCCTCCTCAGCTCCTAAACAAACAGCCCAAACAGCAAAGGAGATGAGGAAAATCATATTTACAATATAAAAAAAAAAGAACTTTGGGATTTTAATTCATGAGGAGGTTTTTTATCTGAGAGAGAGAGAAAGAGAGGAAGTTGCACTTAATAAATTTACATGGAGCATATCTATCTCCTATATTGCTTCTGTCTCACTCTATAAATGAAACATTTTCTCCTCGTTTGCTGACAATATGAATATTTTATGTTGTCCATGTTTTTCTCTTCATCTTCTCTTTTTTTCTTTCTATTTTTTTCCCCCCCTTAAATCCCTATCAGGAAGTTCCTTTGCAGCAATTTCTCACTTGGTTAATTCAGGTTATTTGTTGGCTCTATTGGATGCTGTTGTTTATTTACACCTCAGCAAGAAGGAAGTTCAATACCTCACAGTGGATCATTGGCAAAGAGACTCAGGTCAGAATTAATGATTCCTTTGTGTGTTTGATGGATGGAAAGGCTGGTGATGGGCACTTAAATTAGTTACAAGCTATAAAAATGCCCGGTTTATTCACATTTTTGTACCAAACACCCCCAATAATGGCACTTCTCTGTGTGTACATGAACACATACACCCATGTGCCCCCAGCAGATGGAAATATGGGATAAAAAGGGGTTTTTTTTCTATTTTTCCCATTTTTCTATGGGACTGCAGCTCTCAAAAATGAGCCTGCTCTGCCTCCCTCATGCCAAGCACTTGAGCCACCATTTATAACATAAAACCTGCCAAAGTAATCCCTAAAATTGGGAGACTCAGGCAGATTATGAGGCTCCTTATTTTAATATTTGTGAGGATGCTCAGTTCAGAAATACTTAACCCAGAAGATTGTTGGATTTTGGCTTTGCCATTTTTTTGGATGAGGTTTTTATTTCCCTGCCCAAGGTTGGTTTTGCAGGAAAATGAGGCACAAAAAGACCCAGAGAGGAGGGTGAGACTGGAGCAAAGCCTTCCCTGCTGCTGGCAGGGGCTGCCTGCACCAAACTGCAAAGGGAAAAGCATTTCCCATGGAAATGGAAATTCCTGCATCCAGGAGCCTCTTGGCAACAGCAGCAGCGCTGCTGGGAAAATGGAAAACAAAATGATTTGTGATTGTGCTGTGATTATTGGGGGTGCATTAGTAAAAACATGTTTGCAGGTCAGTCCCTGTGGCCCTACTTGTTTGTTTTGGTTTTGGGCACTGGGAGAGAAATCAATCGGTTTTGAAGTTGGGAGAAATAGCTTTAAAGCAAACAGATAAAAGTAAAACAAAAAGCTCTCAAAAAAAAAAAAAAGAAAAGAAAAGAAAAGAAAAAATCCTCTCTTTTATTAAGCAAAGAGAAAGCTTTCACCTCTGCAGAAAAGAGAGAAATCCAACTGGGAATCCTGGGAGGGAATAAACACTGGGAGAACAAACATGCAGGACAGCAGGGAGGTGCTGGGGCTGTCTGGAGCCAAAGCAACCTCTGCATTATCACAGACATCTTTTATGGAAAATCCTTTCCTTAGGATTTTTCCTCCTGAGAAGCTGAGAAGCCTCAGGAACAAAACGTAAACAATGGTTATCTGCTGCTGTGGAATGCAACAGGTGCATCTGGGATTGGTCTCATGTGGTTGTTTCTAATTAATGGCCAATCACAGCCCAGCTGGCTTGGACAGAGAGCCGAGCCACAAACCTTTGTTATCATTCTTTCCTATTCTATTCTTAGCTAGCTTTCTGATGAAATCCTTCCTTCTATTCTTTTCGTATAGTTTTAATGTAATATATGTCATAAAATAATAAATCAAGCCTTCTGAAACATGGAGTCAGATCCTCATCTCTTCCCTCATCCAAAAAACCCTGTGAGCACGGTCACAGAGAGACACCCCAGGAAACATCCCATGATCAGCACAGCCCCTGAGAACTGAGTGAATGGCACTGCTCCCAAACCCTCTCTGGTTATTCTTTCTTAAAACACATGTAAAGAAAAAAAAATTAAATTACATTTCTGTCCTTGGACACCTTGGAGCTGTTGTGTAGCCCTGGGAATTTTAAGTGCTGGGATCCACAGGCAGAGTGCTGAGTGTTCCCTCCCTCCAAACCCCAGCAAAATCTGATTCAAGCTCTCAGCTCAGGTAGCTCTGAAGCCTGAATAAGGAATTTTAAGTGCTGGGATCCACAGCCAGATTTCCGAGTGCTCCCTCCCTCCAAACCCCAGCAAAATCTGATTGAAGGTATCTCTGAAGCCTGAATAAATATACAGGATGCTCTCTGCCACTGGGAAAGCTTTAAAATCCCAGGGCAAAAAAAAAAGAGAGTTCATTTTGTTTATAAGAGAAAAGGCAATGCAGAACCATAGAAACAAGGACAGAGGGCTGGTTAAAGACAGCATTACAGAAAGTAGACACATCCTTGTTTACATCTCCCAGCCCTGGCACTCCTGATGGCTCCCAGGGCTGCTGTTCCACCTGACAAGGTGACAGCACAGGGACAGGAGAGGGCTCAGGGCAGGGATAAACTCACAAATCTCTCCCGTGTGCGCAGCTGCAGGGCTGCTCTGCCCAGCTCCCCATGCTAGGGAGGGACAGCAGCAGCTTCCCAGTGCCAGATGCTTCCCAGACACTGGGTGTGAAAAATGCATGTATTTTATGATTGGCTTTTCGCAAATATTCAAATGAATGTTACATGTGTTGTGTTAGAAAGTAATGCTGTGTTAATTCTCTTAAGTACTGTGTTAAACATAGTTTCAGGCTATAAAAATTGTTAAAATAGAAACTATGCTATGTAGGATACTTTCTTTAAAGAAAGGACTCCCCTAGCAGCCACAGGACACATAAATCTTTCAGAGAAAGAGAATTTATTGCCCTCTTATCAGAAGAAATGAACTTCTTCCCACCTTGAAGGCGCTGTTAGGATTCAGAGGAAGAAGTTGATGATGACCAGACAGAATCCTGTGTTTGAATTGAATTTATGCATCGTGTATGAGGTGTGTGAATGTGCAAAATATGTTGCTTTAAAGGGTTAACCCTTTGTTAATGTGGGTCCTTTCTCAGGCTCATGCTGCCCAGAAAAAGATAGCTGGATGTCCATAACTCTTTGTTTCTATTGTCTCATATTATCCTAATTCAAATTGTCCAAATTATTATTACTCTAATTGTATTCCTATTTTTATAACCATTTTATTACTATTAAACTTTTAAAATTTTAAAAACAAGTGATTGGTGTTTTTCACACTGGTGAAGGGCAAAGCCTTTCCCAGGGACCTGCAGCCCTGCCTGGTTTAGCTCCTGCTGAAGGCAGCAGAAGGAGAAAGCTCCGACCTTGACCGGCGCCTGCACCCGCAGCAATCCCGAGGGGCTTTGCCTGTTTGTTTGCAAGGAAAGGCTGAGGAGCACATTTGGTTATGGAGGTTGGAGTTCCAACCTGCAAACCAACCCCCTGGATTTGGGATTTTAGCAGCACCTGATCATTCACAGGCAAAGAACGAGCAACACAAATCCAGAGACCGGGAAGATTTCAAACTCCGCACGGAAAACCGGAGAACCACATCTGTTGTGGTGTGATTTCAGGGTTTACCTCAGAACCTCGGGTCCCTCCCCTGATAATTCCTTCCCAGTTGTGTCAGTCATCTCTCCTTTCCCCTCCCAGCACTGTCTGTCCATCCTGGAATTCCAGAAGGGCATTGAGTCTCTGGGGTGAAACACCACACACCCAGCCAGCCAAAAGTGTCTGTGGGGTGAAACACCACAGTGCTGCTATTTGGTTCAGCACCAAGGGTCAGATAAGCTCAGGTAGGTCCCACCTGCTGCCAGCCAGGGGCTCTGTACAAATCACAAACAGCACGAGACTGCTGGGAATGTGCCTTGAGCTGTTTGATTTTCCAGCATCAGTCTCATTCCATGGTTATGACAATGAGAAGATGCCACCAGCTCACATCTCAGGCAGCAGACACAGAACTTAATGTTACCACTCGCTTTAGAAGTTTTTTGACCAATCACACAAAGCAAAAGCACATTGACAGTAGTTCTATCCAACCACTATAAGCACAGGTACCTTTGGTTAAACAATGCTTGCTTATTTCAAATAAAATACCTGCTTGTAAGCCTTCAAACACGATGCACAGAGCTCCATTATTAAGGTTTAACCTTCCTAATATCTCACTAGATAAACTTTCTGTAGCTTAGGGAGTTATTCTAGATAAGCATTAATACACAGCCGATTGTTCTATTTGTCCTTGCTTTTCTACAGTTTAAATAATTTTTCTGCTGACCAATCTCATGGCTGCTGCTTAGCTCTAATAACAGTTCTGCTGTCTCTGAGGCCTTTTGCTGCTTTCTCAAAACCCTCTGATTTTGTAGATTCCCACAATATCCACAATATTATTGGTAAATATTCCAATGCACGTCCTTTTTCACAGGAGTAGCTAAGACACAGGAGCCTCACCCAGAGAGGTTCCCTGGCCTTCAGCCCACCCCTCAGGCCATCCCCAAGCCCGTGGCAGCTCACTGTCACTATAGGACACGAAAAACACAAGCTCATACCTCTGTTCTCAAGGTGAAGGAAAAAAAGGGAAGATTATTTTCTGACTCCAACATTTATAGATTTCCAAAAGTGACAGTGGATTGGAGGGTGACAGTGCCACCTCTCCAATGACACTGGTCAGCCTAACAGTCCATCAACTTTCTCCTCCTCCATAAAGGAATGAGTTATTTACCGAAAGCGCGCGAGAAAGTTCACTATAACAATGTCAACATCAGAAGGCTTAGGAAATCTTAAATAAACGGGGTGACAGCTCACCTTGTATGCAGAGCCCCTCGGTGCAGTTCTCGGACTCCTGGCTCAGCCCCTCGCAGTGCTTGCCACCGTTGCGGGGCGCGGGCGCAGCGCACTCCCGCACGCGCAGGTGCTCGCACTCGGGGCTGCACACCGACCACTCGCTCCACACCTCCCAGCTGCCGTCCACTGCCCGGTGGGGAAAACATGGTCAGCAGATCCTGTTTCATCTCTGCCCTCCATAATTCCGTGTCTAATACACTTCTAACAAACTTTCGCGAGAAAAATGATGCGTTTAACGAAGCTCTCAGCTCTCTGTTTCTCTTTCTGGTGTTGTTAACATCAGCTCCCCTTCTCTGCACTAACCCCGCACCCCCACCCACCTCCCTGATTTCTCCCCCTGAGCTGTCCTGGCAGGGTTTTGGGGGTGCCAGCAGCAGGAACAGCAGATTTGTGTTTCCAAACAAGCTGTGGGTCTGCTGGTAGGTAAAACCAGAACTGGGAGATAAAAGAAACAATGGGAAGGATTCCACTGATTGATGAATGGGGAAATATATTTGCTTTTACAAATAAACTTTAGGTTTGCTGATAAATGAAATTGGACATTAATGGGGAGAAAAACCCTTTAATTCAGTAAGAATTAAAAATCAAAAGGGAGGGTTATACATTAGAGGGGAATCTTCAGGATCAGGTGTTCTGGGAAGTTTGAACCTCTCAAGTACCTCAGAAATGGGGAAAGAGAGAAGGGAAATGTGGCTGGAAATTTGGATAAAAGGGAGGCTGCCTCCTCCAAAAATTGGAGAGACCCCAAGGGAATGCCCCATGGCCTCTGCCTTGATTGGAATAAAGTCAAAGGACTCTTCTGTCTCCTTTTTGGACATATTTGTGGACTAATTTTCCTAACACAGGGTAAGATCCAGCCTGCCCACAGGTGCCTGGCACTGCACACACCCACACCCACACCAGGCTACCAAAACACGGCCACATTTCCCATTCCCTTCCCTGCTGCTGCTTCCCACACAAAGCTGAGGCCTCTGAAGCCCTCCCTTGCTGGGACTCACCAGGGCAGAGGGAGGTGCAGGTGATTTTCTGCACGGACATGCCCTCGCAGAAGGCTCCCCCGTTGAGGGGCGCGGGGTTGGTGCAGGTGCGCGAGCGTTTCTGCCAGCCCCGGCCGCAGCGCGCGTTGCAGCTGGACCACTCCGTCCATGAGGACCAGCCCCCGTTCACTGCAAAACAACAACATGGCACGGGGGCTGAGGGCTGTGCCAGAGCCCCCAGAACCAAACCCAAACCCAAACCCAAACCCAAACCCAAATCCATCCCAGTGGGAAGGGCTTGGCTGGGTGTAGCAGTTCGTTTGGGGGATCTCCTAAGCTGTGTGTTTGCTCGTAGCAGCAGGCAAGCAAGGAGAATCCACACAGCTTCTGAGGGTGCTGATTAAAACACCAACATGGTGGGGGGCTGAGGGGGTGTGCCAGAGCCCCCCCAGAACCAAACCCAAACCCATCCCAGCAGGAAGGGTGTAGCAGTTCATTTGTGGTCCCCGGGGAGTCTCTGATGGTAGCAGCAGGCAGGCAAGGAGACTGTACACAGCTTCTGAGGGTGCTAATTAGATGAGGGTGCTAATTATTGGGGGTCTCACCCCTGGGAGCAGCATGGTTTCTGAGGGAGAAGGGGAAAAGGAGGAGAGAGGGAGAGCCCAGGGAGAAAAGGGCCAAGACAGCAAAGAGGCAAGAGAGATTCTGATCTCCCTGGCACAGCTTAACAGGGAGATTCAAAGTGGGCACAGAATAAACCTTGGGCCAATGAGATCCATGATATTCAGGGGAAGAACACAAGCTTGGAATAAACATTTTTGAGGGGTGAGACAGAGCACACCATTTAACTAAAATGTAACACCACAATTCACCCTTTTTTGTTAGAAAGAAAAGATGAAGATCAATAAGTGCCAAGAGAGCCTCTGTGATCTCCCTCGCACAGCTTAACAGGGAGATTCAAGGTGGGTGCAGAATTAGACTTGGGCCAATGGGATTACAGATCCATGATATTCAGGGGAGGATCACAGGCTTGGAATAAACATTTTCAAGGGGTGAGACAGCAAGCCATTTAACTAAAATGTAACCCCACAGCTGCGTGATCCCGCGTGTGCCGGATTTGAATCAGCGCAGCGATAACTGCGCAAATCAAAGCAGGGCACAGCCACCTCTGCCCCCCAGCCCTGTCACTGACCATAGACCACCACGGTGGCCGACAGGCTCCTCCTCTTGGCCACGATGTTGGCAGCCATGCAGGTGTAGTTGCCCGAGTCGGAGAGGCGCGCCTGGCGGATGATGAGGTTGTGGTCGGCCCTGGTGTCGATGTTCTCGTCCAGGTTGGAATCGATGGGCTCCTCGTTCTTCAGCCACTCCACCTGGCAGGGAGGAGCACAGGGAAACGTGGAGCAGGCCAAAGGCACCTCGTGACCTCGTTAATTGGGTGGGGAAATGCTTCCTTTGGCTGGTAACTTTTTCCTCGAGGAACATGGAATAGAATCTCAGCCGAGAGAGAGAATAGGAAATTCTCCCAACTATATTTTTACATATTGCACCGTGCACTGGATGTTCAAACACTTGGACAGCTACCAGTTCTATAAAACAGATAATAAGCATTATCAATCCCACTTTTTTTTGGTGAAAAAACAGGAAGATGAAATTGCCTGACACGGCACACAGAGGAAAAGCTGATTCTTTCCTCAAAGAACATGGAATAAAATCTCAGCCGAGAGAGAACACGAAATTCTCCCCAACGATATTTTTACATATTGCTCCTGCTGCACCATGCACTGGATGTTCAAACACTTGGACAACCACCAGTTCTATAAAACAGATAACAAGCATTATCAATCCCACTTTTTTTTTCTTGGGAAGAAGCAGGAAGATGAAATTGCCTGACACAGCACACAGAGGAAGAGCCAAGTCATCATCACAGATTCCCAGCTGACACCAACACCCTGAGAACACAGGCCATTAGTGTTTGCTGCCACGGTCCATAAACCCCCTGAAATGCTGTGCACGATGTGTTCCAATCCATCTTCTCCAGTTCACCTCCCAATGGCTCTGAGCACGCCCAGGAATAGCCCGCAAGGCGCCTTTCCTCCCAAAACATTAACAGAAAATAGTTAAGGCATGGCAAGCTGCTGTCACAGGAGAGCAAAACTAAAAATAGAAATAAAATCAACCAATACTATTAAAAGACCAAAGAGCAGGGGGCTGTTTTAGCAGCTTTTCTAGATCTGGAGGAGCTCTGACTGTGCCCTGCAGTCAAACTCCCTTCTCCACTCCGTTCAGATGAATAACCTTGTTTAGCAACTTGTGGAAGGACTTGGAACTTTGTGGTAATGAGCTTATGGCTGTGGTAGCTGCAGGCATTCATTAGCACTCAGCTCTGCGCAGATGGGCTGCAATTTGTACATTTTCCAGTTCCTAAACAAATCTGCAAGCGCTGACCATCAAAGCCAATTACGTTTGGTGCCAGGCAGCAGATTCCCCTCCACAGCAGCACTCCCGGCTTTGTTGGGACAGATCCAGCCCTGCACATCCCAGCCAAGGGCTGCAAACTCTCCTGAAAAAGGCTCCAGGGCTGGGGCACCTCATCCCACACGGTGGCTGTGGAGTTAAATCATGATTTGACACATCTGTGCAAATGTGAGTTACCTGAGGGCGAGGCTCAGCACCACACATTTCACACTGAAAATGGGGGAGATTCCAGCTCTGTGATCCATCTCTGCCATCTCTTTGTCCTCCTGTATCCAACCCTCCCTCCCAACCAGGGAACACTTCCTCAGTGCCTGCAGAAGCCTGGGCACAGCTTGGGACCAAGAAGCTGTGCTAAATCCAGCCATTCCAAACCCTTCCCTGGACAATATCCCTGGGAATATCTTCCAACCATGCCAAACCCTTCCCTGGATAAAATCCCTGGGAGTTCCAGCCATGCCAAACCTCTCCCTGGACAAAATTCCTGGGAGTGAGTTCCAGCCATGCCAAAACTTTTCTAGCCATGCCAAACCTCTCCCAGGACTAAACTCCTGGGAATATCTTCCAACCATGCCATACCTTTCCCTGGGCAAAATCCCTGGGATTGTGTTCCACCCATGCCAAATCTTTTCCAGCCATGTCAAACCTCTTCCTGGACAAAATCCCTGGGAGTAAGGTCCAGCCATGCCAAACGTTTCTAAGGATAAAATATCTGGGAGTTCCAGCCATGCCAAACCTTTTCCAGCCAATACAAATCTCTCCTTGGACAAAATCCTTGGGAGTAAGTTCCACCCATGTCAAACCTCTCCCTGGACAAAATATCTGGGAGTTCCAGCCATGTCAAACCCTTCCCTGGACAATATTTCTTGGATTCTGTTCCCTTTCCCTGTGGTCTAAAGACACAGAACAACCAACGAATCCACTGACTATTCAGTTCCCCTTCCGCAGTTAACCTTAACAGTAATTATCTGAGGGGGTTTCAGTGAAGAAATTAGGAATTCAATTTAAATTATGGAGCAGCCACACGGGCATAAATCAAGTGACAGGAGTTCGATGCTGAACACGCTTTATGTGCAGTGAAATGGGCAGAGAAATGACAAACACAGCCAGCACTCCCCGAGTTCATTATTTCACAAGTGTGTTTGTAAATGTTGACTCTCCCCAGGCCAGGGGATTTCTGGGTGGTGAGAGGGGTTCAAGGGCCCTGTTCCTGTCAGCCTCACCCTTGGAGGGAGCACACGCTGATCCTGTGGGGTTTGATGAGCAGAAAACATTAAAACATTTCCATTAAACCGTGCATTTCAAAGAATGATGATGCCAGCAAAGGGAGAACATTAAACAGACAGAACATAAACACCAAAGTGTTGGGACATGAGATCAAACCCTGATTTGCCAGGGAGGATTGCACTGCCAGTGCTCCCCTCATCCCAGCCCCCCCTTTCCCTGAGAAAATCAGGTTTATCCAAGGCCATCCCCTGCTCTGCCTCAGCAGATGGAGGCTTTCAAAGATGGAGAACCAAGGGATGGATTTATGGGATAAAAATACATTTAAAGGAGTCGTGATGACAAAAGATGTTTGTCACTGGCAGGGATGTAACCTTTGGGAAGCTTCAGCCCCCACACAAACATTCACAAAGCAACCAGGGAAAATAAAAACAGCCAAGAACTTAAAACATCTCCCCAGTGGGGTGAGTGATGGGGTCTGGATTGCAGTGTCTGAAGAGGAACTCCAAACTCCTCAGAGTTTCACTTCCCTCACTGTGGAGGTCACAGAGTTGCTTGTACCAGAATTAAAATGATTCCTTTTTAAGAATTATTCTGATGATCTGGAACCAGACTTTTAACCTGCTATGAAATACTGGAAGTTTGTAGAAAAATATCTGGGTTTTTTTCCTCTGAAATTCAGTCTGCACAGAATTAACCCCCCCTCCCCAGCTTCAGAAACACTCACAAAGCAACCAGGGAAAATAAAAACAGCAAATAACCTAAAACATCTCCCCAGTGGGATGAATGACGGGGTCTGGACTGCAGTGTCTGAAGAACAACTCCAAACTCCTCAGAATTTCACTTCCCTTACCATGGAGGTCACATAGCTGCTTGTACCAGAATTAAAATACTTTTCCTTTTAAGAATTATTCTGACAATCTGGAACCAGACTTTTCACCTGCTATAAAATGCTGGAATTTTGTAGAAGAATATCTGGGTGGGTTTTTTTTCCCTCAGAAATTCAACCTGCTCAGAATTAACCCCCTGTCCCCAGTTTCCAAGGAGGGCTGATCACATCAGGACCTGCAGCTCCGGGGCACCAGGATTAACTGGGTCCCTCCCTGGGTGGCAGCAGCACAATTAGCATCATCAGAAATTTGTCCCAGATACAGAAAGCAATTACCACAGACCAGCTTATGGCATTATCAGAGTAAAATCAGCTCAACACGCCAGAGCCTGGGCAGATTATGGGAGTTAGAGAACTCTTCTCTCTGAAAAACAAAGCTTATCCCAACCCATCCACTAAGAGCTCCTCACCAGTCGCTCTGATGGATATTCAAACATCCCAAGACCTGGGAGTGAATTTTTGGCTCTTTTTGGTGACTTTTTTTGAGATTCCAGCCAGATTTAACACAAGAGGCAGCTCCCAGCCCTTGTGGGCATGGTGATAATTCAGGAGGTCAAGAGAATGTTTATCCTGGAGGAGGAACACAAATCCTCTGAGGAAGGTCTGAAGGAGCTGAGGCTGTTTAACCTGGAGAAGAGGAGGCTCAGAGGTGCCCTTATTGCTCTCTGCAGCTTCCTGAAGGGAGGTGGGAGACAGGTGGGGTCGGTCTCTGACAGAACCAGAGGACACAGCCTCGAGCTATGGCAGGGAAGGTGTCACAGAATCCCAGAATCAATCCCAGAATCCCAGAATGATGAGTTTGGAAGAGACCTCTGAGATCATCCAGTCCAACATGTGCCCCAACATCTCACCCAGACCATAGCACCCAGTTCCATGTCCAGGCTTTTTTTAAACACATCCAGAGATGGTGATTCCACCACCTCCCTGGGAAGAGCATTCCAGTGCTTTATTATTCTTTTGGTGAAAAATTTCTTCTCAATATCCAACCTATACCTTCCCTGACGTAGCTTGAGACTGTGTCCTCTGGTTCCGTCAGTGCTGCCCGATGGAAAAGACCGATGGGTTGGATTGGAACATGGAACTCCTGCTCCTAAAAATTCAGGCTGGAGGAATTTTCCTCCCTGTTGCAGCTGGAATTAGGATGGGGACGGGCAGGGCAAGTCCCCCCTTGTCACAATTTCATCCTCCTTTCCACCTTGAGACTCAAACCAGAAGGAGAAGCCTCCACCAGCAGAAGTCTCTGGGGTGTTTAACACCAACCCAAGGGCTGCACACACTCCTCTCTGCCTTTATTATTGTGATTTTATCAACACCATCACAAGCCATTAATCCTGCGCCAGAAGCCCTCAGAACAGCCTGAGCAGGTCAGCTGTACCTGCTGCATTCTTTTTAAATTAATCCACTGAGGGAGCTCTTCTCTTGAATCATTTAATCGCAGCTCTGTCACACCAGGCTGGTAAGCATATTTTTCCTTCATTAGGTTGAATATATAATCTCATTACAGGGATCTGACACGCTGACTAACCCATAAATCAGCTGGAGGGGGTTCTGGTATGAGGGGATGCACTCGGTGGCGGCCATAGGGATCAGCTGAGACCTCCAGGGCTGCCCAGGCCCATTTCTGGGGGATTTTTCCCACTGCATGGCAGGCAGGGATGTTGGGGAAGATGGAACAGGAAAGCCTTAAAATATGATTGCCTGGCAAAAGATTTTGAGAATATAGAAACTATAAGCGAGATGGAAAGGAAAGCAAGCTTTGAGATCCCTCAGTTACTGAACAACTGG